CTTGGCGTCCCAGTTCCTGATCCTACCCGCCTTTACTATGACAATCAAGCCGCCCTCCATATCGCCAACAATCCCGTCTTCCATGAGCGCACCAAACATGTGGAAATTGATTGTCACTTTGTTAGAGAACAAGTTCGAAGTCAGGACGTTCAACCAATCAAAATCCACACTCGGGATCAAATCGCTGACTTATTCACCAAAGGTCTTGGCTCCGATCAATTTCATCACCTTTTTGCAAGCTAGCCGTTCGTGATTTACACGCTCCAGCTTGAGGGGGAGTATTGGAGTATCATAATCGTCATTCATTCATTGACAGCTCATGCCTGCAATAACCATCAACCACCAACAACATTCAATTCCATGCCACACCTCTCCATCAGAACGTCAGAAACCCATTCTTCTTAATAACTAGATAGAGCAAGATAATGTTTCTTTCCTTTTCTTCAGCACCGACAGATGAACCATTCATGTATAAATTCCCTTGTGTTTATGTACATTCAAGTAAGTGATTCAATACAAAACAGAACACTTCTCCCAATTCTTTCATTGCACCAGTTGAAGGTATTGACGACCAAGGGGTCACGACGGAATGGGAGCTTAGGCTTGGCAATTTTGTCGAAGAACCACAACTGAGTCACAACACACTGCGGCGGCGGGGTGATTCACCTAGAAAATGGAAGGAAACTTGTTGACTAACCTAGACTCCGCACCACCGGCAACAAGGAGAGGGCGAAAGAGATAAAACTTGCACCCCATCTCACTTCCTCGTCCGACTAGTTCGCCTCAACCTAGGTGAGGACCGGATCACCATGTCGTAACCGGAGGTGACGAGGAGGAGACGATGAAGAAGAGGAGCTCTCGATAGATGGCCGTGGCCGGAGTTAGGGTGTTTTATGTTTTTTTTTTAATTTTTATGTCCTTTTAAGATGACATGGAAGTGGCATGGTTTATTGATTGTTATTCAACGGTATTGACTCTTCAACTTAATGGTCAACTTTCGGTTTGGGTCACATTAGGTTTTATGATTAATAGTTTAGGCTAGGATATGCATGTTTTAAAAGATTGGACATGATAGTCATTTAGTGTAAACATTCGAGTCCTTTTGAGATATTAACCTAACTACATTATCTTCATTATGCTTTATAGATATGCTTCAATTCATTTGATGTTAATTTTTTTTCACATTTCTACATATTTTGTTAAATAGATTGTATCTCGATCTAATCATACCACTTGCTAACCCGACGCAAAGATATAAACTAGGTTGACAATCTTTATTCAAAATTCATCCAGTGGCGTTGCCAGGATTTTATGTAAGGGGGTTCCAATTTTCTTAAAAATAAATATATGTTATGAGATTATTTTGCCATGACTAAGAATGTTTTTCTACTATAACTTTTGAAATATATATTCTTCATATAGACTACCAAAAACCTTATTTTCAATATTTCCTACCAACTAATGATTGGTGGTTTGGTTAATCATTCCAAACCGTGGACAATTACGTACGTTAAAATTAATCTAGTGATCATGGATAACCGATGAACGTCGATTGGAATGAGATGGTAGAGGTGAGCAATTTAGCAACCATGTTTGAAAAGATAGTTAGATACTAGAACCCCAATAAGTTGACATTGTTGTATTGTGAGAGGATAAAAGTCACTATACGTTGGAGATAACAATTATCGTCTAAAAAATTACATATTAAAAACGTTGCGTTAATCGCATATGGTTTTTATTTTGATTTTATTCCTCTACTAACTATGATATAATCTATATAATTGAAAATAATTTAAACATACATTATTAATTGTAGTTTGATGGTAGAAATACTAACTAAGCACTAAAAATAATGTTTCATGTTCAAGTTTCATTACAAACTACTAATTTTAACTCTTTGTCCCAAATCCAAGGGTGTGCAGTGGCACCCCCTCCCAACCCACTGCCTCCGCCCCTGAATGCATCAATCTAATTATCACTAAAACCAAATAAGTGCATGGGTATCCAATCCAATCAGGTCAAAGCATGTAAAAGTAAAGGAATGTATTATTTGTAGCCCTAACTTTTCTTTATTTGTAGCCCTAAATTAATAAAGATACATTAATACCCATCACATATAAATTCATTCAATGCATACATTTCAAGACAAAAAATAATTCAAACACTTTCCTCAAACACACTCCTACTCTATTCGCCGTCAGCGACCACCACCTCACGCTGGCGACCGCCAACCCCCGCCGGCGGCAGCAATCACCGCCTCTGCGCCTTCAGGAAATGCAATTGACGAGGTAAAAATTGACGAAATTTTTTTTCCACCGGACTTCTGTCGGGGCATCGGCCACCTTAGACTGATGGCTTAGTTGGTCGCCGTGATTTTTTTTAATTGTTTGAATTTTTTTTGTTGTTTAAATTTTTTCTTTTCTGCTAGATTTGTGAGGAATATTAAATTTTTAAATAGAGATTATATATTATTTTTTATAATTTTTACAATATATTTATCAATAATTCATATTTTTAAGAATATTTTATCCTAATTTATTATTTTATGAATATTGTAACTATCATATTTTTTAGGATATATTTGTTATTTTATTATTTTGTATAATGAAGTTCTTTAATTTTATTTTTTGATATTTTGAAACTAAGTTAATGTTATTGCAATATTTTTCTTATATATGTTTGTTGAAGTTGGTCAAGTTCGGACTTGTGAATATCACTACATCGGACAATGAGTAACACAGTTAGTGAGCTAAAAATTTTAATTTTAGAATCATGCTGAATTAGTTATTGTTACGATGATGCCTAGTAATTGATAGTATGCTTAAATATATTTTTTACAATGATACATATTGTTCTAAAAATGTTGAATTATTGATTTTGTTGCGTTCTTAATAATTTAATTAGTACGTGTGTACTTGTTAAAAACTTTGTTATTGGGTGTTGAAATATTAGATTTTGGTAGCTAATCATGAATAATGTGCTAATTTGTTGTTGAAAAGCTGTTGAATTATAACTTTAATTCGAATAATTAATAATTGTTAACAACGTGTTTAATATTTTTTAATAAGAAGATAAATATAAAATCTAATATTGCAAACAAGTCATCAACTTTTCTAAAACTTATATAAGACTCAATCCATATCAAATCGTAAGAATTCAATTTACAACAAACATTACAAGTCATAAAATGTGTTGAAACTTATGTAAGACTCAATCTATATAAAATTGGAAGAACTCAATCTACAACAAACATTTCGAAGTTAGTATAACTAATAAACTAAATGTGTTTATTTTAGGAAGATCCAAACGATAAGGGGGGACAAAGTTGATTATACTCCATTTTTCATAACAAATACGAGATATAAGTCATGGAATGAAGCTATGGAAGCCGCGAAAGTGATTGCAAAAGATATTGGGTTCTTTTTGACACATTCATCAACCATATATAATCAAATAATGGCGAGGGGTACCCCCGAATATATCTTCATTGCCATCGTGGAAATAAGAACAATTCATATGTCCCAGATCCAGATAAGAAAAGACGATCCAATACAAAGCCACTTAAAGATGGTCGCAATTTCGAGTGATGCTAGTGGGACTCTCGAAGGATAAGACTTGGATGATTGATGGTGTGAAGGACAATCACAATCAGGAAAAATTTTGTGGGTTTCACAGCTATGCATTAGAGCTTTATCTCGAAGGTAACACTCAAATGAATGCTTTCACTGGTGAAGAGCTAAAGGATATGCAGGAGACGGAATGGGCTCGTGTTCCTCCTCGGAAAATGATGCAAACTATTAACCAAAAGTATTGTACTCACCATAACAAACGACAATTTTACAACACGACAACAAATATAAGGATTAAGAGATTGGGTGGCATGACCCCTTCGGATTAGACGTTACACCATGCGAGAGAGATAGGGTACTAAATTGGCTACAAGCATGATGACGTTCGCCACCTTACTCACCCTTTTCTTGCTCACCCTGAGTCTGATTGGATGTTTAGTGCTTGATACCATGGAATCTTGATTTATTTCACATACAAGATGAACAAATATAAGAGGCCCCTGGATGAGGTTGGTGGTGTTACCCCCGTCAAGAGGAACTTCAACATTGGATTTGCTATGATGGAGGGGGGAAACCACAGATTCTTATGATTGGCTTTTGAGGGAGCTACAGAACATGGTTGGAGATTGCATACCGAATGCAATTCTAACTGACAAGGAAGGACGATTGGTTGCCGCTATCCCTCAAGTCTTCACGAAATCGGCTCAATTGTTGTGTATATGGCACATAAAGCGGAACATTGAAGCTAAGATAATGGGTTTGGGGATACCTCAAGAAGTTTCTCCAGGAGTGGTAAATGGTTCTTGGAAGAAGGTGATGGAAGCCACCACGCCACATGCTATGATTGAGGAATGAGAAAATTTCAAGCATAGATTTTGGGGGAGGAATAGTAGGTTGATAGAATGCTTGGATCGTGAGTGTTTAGAGCATAAAGAGAAGTGAGCTTGTGCTTACACTAACAATATTTTTCATATTGGTAACACAAGTACAAATTGGGTTGAATCGACTCACTCTACTCTCAAAGCTTAGCTAAACACTTCCACCAGGGGTATATACACTATATTTATCATGACATGCTAGCATTGGGGGGCAAGTGATATAAATTAGTAAAGAGCTAGAGACATGTAAAACAAAGACATTCAAAGGAGCCTACGGACCACCCTATGGTGTTATAAGGGGAAGTGTAAGCCTATATGCAATTGAGTTAATGTTTGTAGAGGGAAAGAAGACTCCGTCGGAATGTGATTGTGTAACTAGGAGGACACATGGGCTCCCATGCAGTTGTCGAATTAACTCCTTTAAAGGAGCGGGGGACCAGTTTCACATAGCATAGTTGGCACCATTCTGTCTACTTTGGACTATGCTAACCCTCACGGTACAAGACGTCTTAAAGATAATAACGCCAATGATCTTCATATTTTTCATGATCTAATGGTTGAGGTGTGCATGTGTGGTCCATCTTCAGTTGGAGCACCCAAAGCTGCATTAATGACTCAACTTTGCCCCAAAAAGGAAGGCCTTAGGGAGCCTCGAGTGTCAACAAAGGCAAAAGGTCGGCCACCTAGAAGGGAAAACGCTCGTGATCCTTCTTGGCATGAGAACGCTGCCGAACGCCAAGGTGAAGGAGCACAAGGAGGAAGGCAAAAACCTCAGATGATACAGGTTATTATTGAATAATTTGAATGGCTTTGTTAAATCCGTTGATATTCAATAAGTATGTTTTATAGGCTAATAAGCTAATTACAACAAAATTTTCACCAACAGGTGCCCGAAGGGTGCTCTCATCCACACAAAGAGAAAACCAACAACCTCAGATGATATATGTTTGTATTGAATAATTTGAGTTGTTTTGTTAAATCCATTGATATTCAATATGTTAATAGTCTAATAAGATAATTACAATCAAATTTTTATCAATAGCTGTCCCGAAGGATTCCCCCATCCACACAAAGAGAAAAGCAACAACCTCAGATGATACAATTTTGTATTGAATAAATTAAGTTGTTTTGTTAAATCTGTTGATATTCAATAAGTATGTTTAATAGTCTAATAGGCTAGTTACAAAAAAATTGTCACCAATAGGTGGCCCGAAGGATGCTCCCATCCACACAAAGAGAAAAGCAACAGCCAGAGATGAAACAAGTTTGTATTGAATAATTTGAGTTGTTTTTTTTTTAAATCCGTTGATATTCCATGTGTTTATATGCCAATAAGGTAACTAAAAAAATTACATTCACATGTGCCTCGAAAAGGTATCACATGCACAAGATTGATGAGTGATTGTTTTCCTTACTTTCGCTTCAATCCAGAAAGTGTCAGAGATTGATGTCTTGGTTGGTGGGACCCTGTTTCTAATGACCATTGCAGATTTCAGGCTCTTTCGCATGCATGTCATGGAGATGAGGACCCCCACTTGTGGTGAGAAAGGCAATTATAGATGAGTCATGTCGATCCAACAATGTAAGGACGCATATGAAGATGTGGGTCTTTTATCTTACACGATTACAGTGGAACAAATAACGGCCTACTACAATGCATCATTGGATGAATGAGTCAGATCTCGCCGTAGCTGCAACATTATTTAACTGGGCCATAATCCTCTCTAGTGAAACCGAAGATACCAAAGATGGGGTGACGAGACGTGTTCCATTTGGACAAACCTTTTTAACTATGATAGCTAAGTCGGGGGTAGCTCTCCCTAGCAATGTGTTGGTGTTGTGTAACACCGGCAACCATTGGGTGCACATTAACTTTGAGGAAGATTCAGTACCAATGCCTCCATTCACCTTCTGGTGGACCCATTTTCGAGACAAAAATAGTACTCAAGGGTGGGAGCAGTTGTTCGAGCACGAGCGAGCTCTTTACTTCGCACTTGAGGGCCATCATGACTAGTAGGGGATATTTGTAGTAGTATTGGTATATAATGACAATATATATATGGTGGTGTCTTCGGTGCACTCACTTTTTTGGGTGCATTCAGTGCACTCGCTTCATAACCGTCATTTTAAACATGCGATTTATGTCAAAATGATGTCAATCATCACTTATGATATGATGAACAATAACGCACATGAATTTGCACAAAAACCACTAAAGATTTACTTTAACTTGAAGGATTTATATTTTAGAGATTTAGGGTTAGGGTTTACAATTTGGGGTTTAGGGATAGAACTCCAAATTGGAGGTCTAGGGCTTAGGGTAATCAGCTAATTAATTGTTATCATATGTTATATCATCATATTACACTAATTCTACAAATTAAAATTCAAAATCCGGCACCTTAAGACTAGTTTTTGAGTTGGGTGTATTGAACGCACTCATTTTTGTGAGTGCACCGAAGTAGTCACCGTATATATATATATGGGGAGTTCTACGGTACCCTGGGTAAAATCCGGGGTACCGCATACCTTGAGTATGAAAACACTATCTAGACCTTGAATTGACCGATCTTTCGGACATGATACTATACTCTAACCCTTAAAGATATGGTTTAGGCTAGCGTATGCCCGTTTGAGTTTTGCTATTTAGATCATGAATTAATCTGAGTTTTGGGCATGATACTATACACTAACCACTAATGGATAAACCCCAGTCCTTAGTTTTCAAACCCAAATCATGAGATACGTTTAATCTTGAAATGAAAATCAACAATAATTTCGACGAATCAAAACTGTTGATTTTCATTTCAAGATTAAATGAATATTATGCTTTGGGTTAGTGAATTGCGGACTAGGGTTCACCCATTAGGGGTTAGGGTATAATATCATGCCCCAAATTCCGGTTAATTCATTGTCTAAATAGCAAAACTCAACGGGCGTACGGTAGGCTAGGGTACGCCCGGGCGTACGGTAGGCTAGGGTACGCCCGGGCGTACGCTAGCCGGAACCATATATGTATGATACTATACCCTAACCTCCGATGGATAAACCCCAGTCACCGATTTTCTAAATCCTAACCCTAAGTTTGATTTAATGAAAAATAAAAATTGACCGTTGAGATCGGTCGGAGCTCATCTAACTACATCTAACGGCTAGATCACCTGACGTATACTATACGCCTGACGTACATCAGTCACCACCATATATATATATATATATATATAGTCGTTAGTAAACATAGTTTTAAATTAAAACTGCCACAGTTCTAAACATACAAATTAATAAAGTACCAAATGAACAACACTAGTTCTCAAACTACAAATAAACAACATAGTTCTCAAACTACAGATAAATGACATATTCCTCCAATAACAAATAAACGATTTTGTTCTCAAACTAGAAATACACTACATAGTTCTCAAACTATCAAACAATAAATAAACGACATAGTCCTCAAACTACAAATAAACAACATAGTTCTCAAACTACAAATAAACGACATAGTCCTCAAACTACATGAACAACACTAGTACTGAGGTGGAGGCTTGTATGGAGTCGTCTCGTCGTAGTCTCTTAAGAACACTTGTAGTCCAAGAATAAGATCAGTGTGGTCATCATAAGAGTGCTCAATCGTAGTGCGAAACTCTCGAACGAGCTTCACATATAACTGTATAAACAAGTGTTGATGTTAGTACGCTATTCAATAACTAATGCAATATGTAAGTTTGTACAGAATTACAATATCAATAACATAAGGAAGCTTCTCTTATCATGACTAAGCTAGTAGTGTATCTCCTGGTTAGAAGCACTGGGGTAGACAATCCTCAAGTGGGTACGTCCCACATACCACTGTAGATACTCATCGACGATATCTTTCGGTTTCTGGACAGGTCGCGATATCAAATCCAACTGCACCGAGTGGCTATGAGGGCCCCTCCAAATCTCACTCAAGGCGGGACGGAAGGATAAGGAGTACATCTTGACATTCAAAGCTCGACAAACATCAGCTGGCGGAAGTGGATCTGAGGGGATGGTTTGTACGTACCAAAGCTAACGATTGCAACACGAGGAGTTCGTGATCTAGGACTCGACGATAGTGATCCAACCTCTCATTCATCAACTGTGCCCCGCCTTCAAATATCACCCCTCCCATCTCTTAGCAAGAGGATGCCCGTACACCAATCCAGTGTAGTCAAAAGCGCATTTCTACGTAGAAGCGTTTTGGTGATCTAGAAGCGTAAAACCTTAAGTTTTTAAGATTTAAAGTGTAGTTTTTAACTACATTAGTTATACAAACGGAGATTATGCGTATAAGCATTTTGGTGATCTCGTAAACACAGGAAGTACTTATGGATCCAGCTCTGAAGGAGGGTCAAACACACACCTTCACCTTTGCAACCCGCTCAAGACGCCATGCTAAGTTGTCTATAGAAATAGGCGAGTGTAGCATACCCTCAAAAATATTTCCTCACATGTCTAAGGTCCCCCAAGAACTGGAGTGGCCAAACCTACGCGCGATCCCCACTCCTGTCCACAAACAAGGTGGTCCCTAACAAACTTGTCAAGAACATCCGTACATCAGAATCTCTTTCCCTAAACCTCCCAACCTGTTGCATAGCATCAACACACACCAAACCCCCACTCTTGAGTGAATGCTTGGATCGTTCACTCAAATTTCTGACCTTCAGCATCTCACACAACTGTGCTTTCACACTTTCACTACAACCATATGTCCATCGACTGGAATCCCGAGCAGCACCGCAACATCGTGGAGCGTGATGGTCATCTCTCCAAAAGGCATGTGAAAGGTATTGGTGCCTAGCTGCCACCTCACGACAAACGCCACAAGTAGAGGTCCGTCCAAGTGTTGGATCGAGCAGACCAACAACTTGCGTATCCCCGTCTCTTTAACCAACACTTCAGCACCCTTACTCTGAAATTTGTAATTCTTCAAATAATTGACTGCTAATGCACTGGTCTACAACTTGAATGAATCCATTCGGCGAGCCACCTACATTCGGATGGTTTCCCTCGAAGAAAGCCTCATACACATCCGGGAAGTCATCATAATTGTCATCACTACCATCATACTCAGCTACTCACTCAAAAGTTCTATCTAAGTCAAAAGGCACGGGAGCCGGGGGAGAAGGATTCTCTACAAGCTTAGCACGTTGACACTCATTCTTTGCTTCTTCATGACGCGACCTCAATGATATACTGTTGGCCACCCTCAACGGCTCTACCTCCTTAATCTTCTTCTTTCCTCTCGTATCCATCATTTTCTACCTATTAAAATTTGAATTAAAAATATTGTCAATTTATTATCATCATATACTAATCATTGACAAGATTCAAATGATAATTACAAGTTCTCATACGATGAATTTTATATTCAAATTATTCAACGTTCCTATATTTCTCTATTATAATTTAACATTCATTTATAATTTCAAATAAAATAAATTTTCCCATCACAATATAATGTTCGAAATAAATCAATGAAATTCTAACTTACTTTTCTTGCTTAATAAATTTGTCACTTACAATTTAAGGTTCATACTACAATTTATACTTTCCATGAAATAAATTTCTACACTCAAATTATTAAATTTTCGTATATTTATCAATTACAATTTACCTTTCGTTTCTAATTTCAAATAAACGAAAACATAAACATATTTATGAGACAAAAATTTTAACACTCCTTTATTTCTATTTAATATTAATAAATACAATCTTATTTTCATAATCTAATTCCAAATTCAAATAAATTTTATAAATAATAACAACAATTAACCCCAATATAAAACTAATTAGTAACAATAAATTCTTTTTTAGATAAATTTTCCTAATAAATATTCATAATATAAAATAAATTTAAAATTAATAACAATAGTTGAATTAATATAAAATAAAAAAAGTATTGTCTGCGATGTGTGACAACCGACGAACGTCCTGCCCAGACGTCAGCGTCGGCTGGTCAAATCGCTGTTGACCCTCGTCATTTGTACAGAATTCGGAAATTTAACTCCAGCGACTGGGTCTTCCTCTTTGGCGAGTGGGTCTTCTACTCTGGCGAGGTGCTCTGGTCTCCTCTTCTTTGGCGACACTGCTCTCCAATTTCTCCGGCGACACTGCTTTTCGTCGTCTCACGGCGAGATCTCGTCGTCTCCGACGGGAACGCGCGTCTCCGATGAGAAGTCGCAGTTGTCTTCGACGTTAGTTGGGAGGAAACCGGCGTCTGTGATGTGAAATCAATTCGACCCTTCTACGAGTTTCAATTAATCGTTCAGAGATCAAACAAGAACAAAGGTGGAAAGTGGCTAAGTGTTGGGGCAGTTTTGGGAACATTATTTTGGAGGGTTGGATATCTGAATTGCCTCATTGAAAATTCAAGGTTGAGGGCTTTTTTTGAAGTTTGGATGTTTCTCTACAATGTGGAGTGCTTGGATCGTCAAGGAGAGGCCAGAAATATCGATTTTCAAGCCATTCAAAAATCCATTTTGCAACTTGAAAACTACCAGTTTTTGGCTAAGGCAGAAAGGTTGTTCGAGATGGCAACTTTGAGCTCTTATTCACGAAGCTTGGGACTTAACCATCTGGAGTTTGGAGTTGGGAATGAAATTATAAAATTTCTAAACCACGATAAGGAATTGGCTGACCTCGAAGCCATTTAGAAGGTCGTTTTTCCAGGAGCTCGAAGTTGGTGCGAAGACTGTTTTCCTGGACAGTTTGCTTAGAAGAGAAGGTTGTTGCTTGGGTTGCAAGTTTCCGAGTTTTATATGTTTTCCTTACCTCATTTAGCTTGAACGTGTTTCCTTGTTTAATTAGGATTATGTTAGGTTGTTTCTTGGCTATAAATAGCCTCTTTCATTGGTTATAATTCATGTTTGAAGTTGATTGAAAATAAACCTACTCCGAGGAGTTTCCCAAAGTTGCGGCTTGTTCTTGGTTTTTGACCAAGGATTTCAGATCAATCAAACCAAGCATTCACCTTGGTTGATTGATAACTCTACCCACGTTAGCCTCTTCCCCTTTTGTGTTGAATTTGTTGGCCTGGTTCTTTTCCATTCATTGATTCACCCCTCTGTTCTTGCTACGCGAAACCACCATAAACACCAACCTTTTCCAACAATTTACCGACGTTTCGTGATTCTGAGTTTAAGACCCTTTCTTGGGCTCCCCAAGTGGTATCAGAGCCTGGTTCAAAGCAGTGGACAAGACAATGAAGAGCACTTGCCCTGTTGCGGCGAGAACAAGGAAGAAGGACCCGATCGCACTGCGGAAAACCAAAGAAACAGAGTTTGACTCTGAGTCCGATGAGGAGATTCAGTTTGAGGAATCAACCATGGCGGGGCAACAGATTAAAATTACTGAGATGTTGCATACCATTATGGCACAAATTAACGCGACATTCCAAACCCAGTTTGATCATATTAATCGCCAATTGGAGGAGTTGAAGTCGTCGTCAGTAATAGAGCTGAAATCCCTGAAAAACGACGACGAGACTGGAGACAATCCCTGAAGGAGATAACATCCCTTGGGCTCTGAACGAGCGCATTAGGAACTTGGAGCGACAATTGATCCTCGCAATGAACAACCATCGGAATCACAAATTTCGTGATCACGATCGCCGTCCACTAGAAACAGGGGGCATTGACGAGATGTGAGGGATCAAACTTAGCATTCCCTCGTTTCAAGGAGGCCTTAATCGAACTTAGTACTTAGACTGGAAAGGAAAGTGATTTTTTTATTCGACTGCCACAACTACATTGAATAGCAGAAGGTCATGCTTGCTTCCGACGAGTTTGGAGGATACGCAGATGCTTGGTGGGAGCAGATGCGCATTAAGCAAAGATGAATCGAGTTACCTCCAGTTGTTACTTGGCTGGAGATTCAAAGCTTAATGCGAGAGTGTTTCGTTCTCTCATACTACCAGCGCGACCTTCATGACACCTTGCAATCGCTTCGCCAAGGAAGCATGAGCGTTGAAGAGTACTACAGGGAGCAAGATCTTCTCATGATCCGAGCTGATGTTCGAGAGGACAAAGAAGCCACCATCAACCGATTATTTTAGGGTCTCAATCGAGACGTTAAGAACCAAGTCGAGCTCTTTCAGTTGGTAGAAATTGAAGAGGTTGTGCAACTGACAGTGAAGGTAGAGAAGCAATTGAAGTGGTAGGGTGCGGGCAGGAGATTCATCATAATGAGCAGCACACCTAAGCATGTTCCTGAATCCGAATTGAAGCCGGAAATGCTGAAGGATATTGCTCGAAACGTTACCCTAGCTACTCAAGAAAAGATGGGAACCTCCAGTGGTAGCATTAGATGCTTCAAATGTCATGGTTATGGCCACAAAGCCCATCAGTGTGTCAATCACAAGACTATGGTTCTCAGGGATGGTCAATATCAATCGGAGGAAGAAGAAGAGGAGCAGCAGAAGGTTATTGAAAGCGAATCAGACTCCGAGGTAGAGGCACCAAAGGGTTCGTTGATTATCATTCAACGCGCGATGAAAAGTAAGGAGAACCATCCTTTTGAAATGAATCAAAGGACCAATATTTACCACACTCGATGTCAAGTTAACGGGAAGAAATTGACGGTGATCATCAACAGTGGGGTGAGCCTTGATGTAGTCAAAAGAATCGGATTGGCCATGATTCCTCGGTCTGATCCACATTCCCTTCACTGGCTCAGTTACCATGTTGCCATCAAGGTGAACAAATAGGTAAAAATCCCTTTCTTCATCGGAAAGTATCACGGCGAATTTCTCTTCGATGTTATATTAATGCAGGCGGCGCACTTAGTGTTGGGAAGACCGTGGCAGTTCGACCATAAGGTATCTCATCAGGGTCGAACCAATTATTAAACTTTTGAGCATGGCAGAAAGAAATTGACCCTCAAACCACTAACCCTGGAAGAAGTTCGAGATGGTCAGTGCCACATGTCGAAGAGTCGAGTTAAGGATGGAGTGGAATCGAGTGCACTAGCTTCAGGGATGTGCGAAGCAAACCAGCTAATGGCTCATCGTTACCGGTTGACTGTCCTCTCTGGCAGAAAAGTTCCACGACAAAGCAGAGCTTGGCGGCCCTATTTTCCGGCTGCCCTGAAGTGCACCGAATGGGGTGGAACAGTTGGAGCCGAGTTGGAACAAACGACCAGCGCCGACACGTTCCAAATTCACATGCAACAACGTGTAAAAATGACGAAATCCAGCTTGAGCATGCCCGATCGCAGGATCCCAGAATCAAATTTTCGCTGCTACGCGAGCGGAACAACGAGCAAAAAATGGACGAATTGGTTGGGGAGTTTGGGAACAATTCGGTCCAATCCGGTGCTTGGGAAGGCTTGCAGGGTCTCAAGGATCGTGTAGGAATCAAGAAATTGGATCGGCATGTGAAAGAAACGCCCAAGGTATTCTCAGGGATCGTGTAGGAATCAAATTTTCCAGAATTCTCACGGATTCTGGAAATTCATCGCCGGATTCTGGGAATTTTGAATTCTACGGTGGCGGGAAATCTTCAAGCCTTGATTCTAGGAGAATTAGGCACCAACCAAGATCGGGAGCCAGTGCATTCGTGTCATGGGAGTCAGGCGAACCAATTACAAGCTAGGAATCAAATCGAGAAGGCTTCAAACAAAAAGCCCCAATTTTATGGAGCTCGTCGGAGAATCGAGTTTCGCCGGAAAGGGAAAGTTTCGAACTGCCTTTTTGTGACCCTATTTTGGAAGATTTTGTCTATTCTTTTTAGAGCAGGTTGTTCCAAGCTTTGAGGTCAAAGCTTTTTAAAGAAGGGGGGCCTAATATGAACTCAATTCGACCCTTCTACGAGTTCCAATTAATCGTTCAAATATCAAACAAGAACAAAGCTGGAAAGTGGCTAAGTGTTGGGGCAGTTTCGGGAACCCTACTTTGGAGGGTTGGATCTCTCAATTGGCTCATTGAAAATTCAAGGTTGAGGGCTTGTTTTGAAGTTTGGATGTTTCTCTACAACGTGGAGTGCTTGCATCATCAAGGAGAAGCCAAGAAGGTCGATTTTCAAGCCAATCAAAAATCCAATTTGCAACTTCAAAACTGTCGGTTTTTGGCTCAGGCAGAAAGGATGTTTGAGATGCAACTTTGAGCTCTTATTCACGAAGTTTGGGACTCAACCAACTGGAGTTGGGAGTTGGGAATGAAATTTTAAAACTTTCTAAATCACGAGAAGGAATTGGCTGACCTCGACACCATCCAGAAGGTCGTTTTTGCAGGAGCTCGAAGTTGGTGCAGAGATTGTTTTCCTGGACAGTTTGCTTTGAAGAGAAGGTTATTACTTGAGTTGCAAGTTTCCGGGTTTTATATGTTTTCCTTTCCCTATTTAGCTTGAACTTGTTTCCTTGTTTAATTAGGATTATGTTACGTTGTTACTTGGCTATAAATAACCTTTTTCATTGGTTGTAGAAGTTGATTGAAAATAAACCTACTCCGAGGAGTTTCCCAAGCTTGCGAGCTTGACTTGCTCTTGGTTTTTGACCAAGGATTGCAGATCAATCGAACCAAGCATTCACTTTTGTTGATTGATAACTCTACCCACGTTAGCCTCTTCTCCTTTTGTGTTGAAGTTGCTGGCCTGGTTCTTTTCCATCCATTGATTATTCATCCCTCTGTTCTTGCTACGAAACCACCATAAACACCAACCTTTTCCAACGATTTACCGACGATGCGTGATTCTGAGTTCGAGACCCTTTCTTGGGCTCATCAGTCTGTTGGGTGTTCACAGGAAAGTGTTGTTTGGTTTGGTTGTTATGAAAATTTGAATTTAAAAAAGGAGAAATGGCAAAATAATAATTGCAGTATTTTAGTGCTACAAATAGGTTTTGTTTAGAGCTACAAATAGCAATTCATAAAGTAAAACCCACTTTGATGGGTTTTGGATTGGATGCGGGTATAACCTAATTCGCTAAATTGAGTTTGGATTAGAAGAAGGCCTACCCAACCCGATATCCCGCCCCTGCTACTATTAGTTGTTTTGCCGGATGTGTTTCTTTTCCTTTTCAATATTGGGGAGGCCGCAAAAGAAATTCAGAAGGAGAGGAGTCTTACTCTCCCCTCTTAGTTTAAATCTCTGGCCACTGCCCATTTGGCATTTTCCCACGATCCAATCAAGTCTCCCCCTCCCTTGGTTTACATCGATCACCCCTATAGCAATGGAGGTTTTCTGCCGCACCAGACCGAGTCCTTCTTCCCCAAACCCTCTCTTTATTTACTCCCCGCCTCCTCCCTTCAAACCTTCATCATCATCCTCTAAATCAAACCTTATATGCTCATCCATCCATGACGATCGACGTAGACCTCTCCTCCGTCGCCGATCTCGAAGCAACATGCTCCGATCTCCGGAAGCTCCTCCACACATCGTCCAAGATGGAGGACATCCTCCGGAAGATGGACAACCGGTTCGAAGTCATGGACGAGAACCTCGCCACTGCCGCCAGGCGGATTGCTCCGCTCCAATCCCTAGCCATGGCGTCCAAGGCTCTCGACACCAGGATCAACCGAGCCGTCTCCCCTGCTTTCTCGCTTCTTGAAGGATTCAAGCGCTCGGAAACGCTCCAGCGGCAGCTGATTGACCTGTCGGCGAAGTTGGAGTCCGAGAGGAAGCCGAAGAAGCGGCTGAGGCTGCTGCTCAAATTCGTCGACTACGTCGACGGGCTGAATTCGACGATCAATTCGATTAGCCAGGACGGCGAGCCGGCGATTCAGAAGCTGCAGGAAGTTGTGGAGTTTCTGAGCAGGACGAAGGCGACCGATCATTTCCGAGCTCATCGGCTGAGGGAAACTCTCGTCACGCTCAAGGCCCTGTACGAAACGGAAGTCGACGCCATGAAATTCGAAGGGTTCTTGGATCAGGCCCTCCTGAATTTGCAGGATGAGTATGAGACGATTCTCCAGCAGCTTCGGCACCAGAATTTGGGGGATTTGCGAGGGGAGGAAGATGAGCCGGAATCCAATCCGTCTACTGACCTTGGCACCGATCTCGAGCTCGAAATCCTGCAGCGGATTTCTGAAATCCTCTGCTCTAACGATTGCTTGGATATCTGCATCGATATCTTCGTTAAGGTACGAATCGAAATTTTCAGAAGAAATTTAGTTTTGGGCGATTCTTTCTAGAAATTTCGACCTAATCTTGCTAGCTATAATCTGACTACAGGTGAGGTACAGAAGAGCAGCGAAAGCATTGATGCGGCTGAACCCGGATTACCTGAGGACTTACACGCCGGAAGAGATCGATGATATCGAGTGGGAAACATTGGAGAATGCGATAAGCCTATGGATTCGGCACTTCGAGCTTGCTCTAAGAACCGTTTTCATATCGGAGAAGAAGCTCTGCAATCGGGTTCTGGGAGGGATTTTGGACGGAGCTGTTTGGCTGGAATGCTTCATCAAGATCGCCGACAAAATCATGGCGGTCTTTTTCCGGTTCGGGGAAGGTGTAGCGAGGAGTAGCAAAGAGCCGCAGAAGCTGTTCAAGCTTCTGGACATGTTCGATTCCCTGGAGAGCCTGAAATCGGAGTTCACCGCCATTTTCGAAGGGGAAGCTGGACTGGACATCTGTATAAGATACAGGGAGCTGGAGAAGCTTCTGGTTCACTCGTCGAGCAAAGTTTTCTGGGAGTTTGGACTTCAGATCGAAGGAAACTCCGACGGATTCCCTCCGCCGCAAGACGGATCTGTGTCGAAGCTCGTGAGGTATGCAATCAACTACCTCAAGTACCTAGCAACGGAAGCCTACAGCGTCCCCATGGCCAAGGTTCTTCGAACGGAGCAGATCTGGAAAGCCGGGATTCTGTCCAAACCAGAATCCGACGAGAATTTGCTACAGGAAGCCATTACCAACATCCTCGAAGCACTTCAACGCAACATCGAATCGAAGCGGTCGAGGTACAAGGACAAAGTTCTGCCTCACATTTTCGCGATGAACACCTACTGGTACATTTACATGAGGACTCGAAATACGGAGCTGGGGAAGTTGCTCGGGGAGCAGTACATGAAGCAGAAGTACAAATTCGTCGCCGAGGAATCCGCGTATCTGTATCAGAAGCAGGCGTGGGGCCCGCTGGTGAGGCTTCTGGAGGCGGACGATGTGAAGAGGCAGGGGAATTTGCAGGATTCGGCGATGGGCGCCGCCGTGAGGGCGAAAGTGGAAGGGTTTCTCAAGGCGCTGGAGGAGACGGCGGAGCGGCACAGGGCGTCTTACACCATTCCCGACGTCGTTTTGAGGGAGCAGATTCGGGAAGCGACGGTGAAGGTTGTCGTTCCGGCTTACTCGGATTTTCTGAGCAATTATACCCGGGCGACGCAGGGGAAGAATTTTCCGAGCTCGGAGTCGGTTCAGGCGATGGTGTGTCGGGTTTTTAACAACGGGGAGCAGTACCCGGCGGCCGGAGAAGGGAAGTTGAGGCCGCGGAGTTCGAAAGGCCGGTCGACGAATGCCGGCGGTGGGGGGAGCGAGGCAGGGTCCGCTGACTTTGAGCGTAAGGATTTTCGACGGTCGAGATCGATTAGATCGTCTGCCAGCGATCAGTTGGACGGCTGATGTGAGTGGTTCTCGTGTGGGGTCTTTCTTCCTGCCCCTGGACCCCACCGTATTATGCACGATTCTCTTATCTTTTATTTTCCCACTCTTTTTTTTTTTATAGTTTTTTTTGTCAATACATGGGTTGGTGCCGTTTTGTGATTTTGTCATTTGGCGCCATCTCATGCTTTTTGTCATGCCTCGGTGGAGTCGTGTGAAATTTCCAGGTTGTAACTTGTGATTACTTACAAATAGTTTCTATCCCTCGCTGTGTTTTTTAATGTTTGTAGAAATAAAAGAAAGTAGCAGACTCCTTGGTCCATAAGCACTTTAACGCAGAAAAATATAGAATTAGGTCAATCATCCAAGATTGCACTTGAGAAAGACAATTCGATTCAGTCAGTTAGCAAACTCTATTTTATTATGAAGCTTATATTTGCAGTTTCTCTTTTTAAAGAAGCATTAGTTTTGAGCCCGCTCAACTGGGTGTATTTTTCTTGTTTTTTCTATCGGGCTATTACAAGCTTGTGTATATATTTATTATTAGGTTTCATATGATATGAGGGTACCATATTTAGTGTAGGTTTGACCAGGATCAACAACAATGTCAAACAATGAGAGTTACAACTTCATAATTAGTAGCAAGATCATATTCAGAGCATCTCCGTCCTTGCAATTATTTAGCAATTTCATATATGGGTCCCACTGCCATATCAACCACTTAAGCAATAGCTATTTCAAGTCACTCACATCCTTGCAAGGTTTTAGCCATTTCTATTGTGGGGGCCACACATATATGTATGTATAAACAATTCTTCCATTATAAAAAACTAACATTTCTGAACTATAAAGATAAAATAGAAAAGGTAAATAAAATCCTATGTGGCATTGCAAGTGGAATTGCTTATTTAGCAAGATTGCTAAGTTAGCAATTGGTTCCACATCCTTGCAATTGAATTAGCAATTGCCAAACACATGTCACCTAAGTTTTAGCAATTGCATATGAAAGGGGATGGAGATGGTCTCATGATCATCTGATATTCAATTGGTCAACAGTTTTCTAGTTCAAAAATTGTACATTGTCAATCATTGATTTTTACTTTTTCGCATATATATTGTCATCAGTACATATATACATGTATATAAGAAAATTGGTGTATTGTAGTTTACATCGTTTAGTTTCTGTGATAGTTATTGAAATAAGTTATATTACTTGTTCGGTGAAATGTCACTTTTGCCATTTATTTTTAATATTAAAAAGCAACACACATAAAAAGGTAGGGTCATAGTTGGAACAAAAGAAAACGCAACAATCTCTACCAAACAATCTCAACCAAAACTTGAGATTTAGCTATCACTCATTTTGAGTGATAGTTTGTGTCAAATCAAACAAACAATGCATGTATTGTTTGTGCATAAAATAAAATAAAAACGATGCTTTGTGGACAATGCATGCATTGTAATTATCCCAACCAAACGATAAATATGTTGATTAAGTCTGGTGTGCGTCTAAAAGTTTCTTTGACCATGTAACAATCACTTCAAATAGAGAATTCTGTATACGCGAACTGGAGTATATTTTCAACTTATTTGTTCGTTTGACGAATGTATGACTGAGAAAAATTTAGGATTTGAACCTTTTGGTGGTAGTAGACAACCCTGTAACACCCCGACCTTTGGGTTCAGGTTCGACCATAATACGTGAACTGTTGGATTGACGGTTACGTACGAAAGATTGCAATCGCGGATTAATAATAATAATTACTATTATATTATTATTACTATTATTTAAAAAATATATAAATACTCAAGTTGGGAGCCGTTCGGCCCCCTGTAATCTTCACCCACAAGAATTTAACCCCGCCCCCATCATTGTTGATTATTCTCCTTCCCCAGCCACAAACCCCACGAGAACCTATTTCCCAAATCCACTATGGCGCTGCACCAACCCTTTTCCCCCACCTATCTTCACCACCGGACTCACGTTCATGTGTTCGGTGCTATGTGATGACGTTTGAGGGTTTGAACATCAATCAACGAGGAAGCCAACGTTTCGGGCCATCTAATCTAGTTTTAGGCACGTTCTAGAGGTAAGATAACTTGATTTCTTTGAGTTAGATCGATCAATTTGATAATTTTTTGTGAGAGTGCAATTCAGGACTTTTAGCAACAGACTTTATAAGCTTTTAGTGACAGATTTTGGGTGGTCACTAAACCTGCTGGAAATTTCCAGAAATATATTTTAGAAGTTCTAAATTTTTTGAGCCTATGTGGGTTTTGTTTTCTGGTTTAAATTTTTTATAAATTGAACGGGGTCTACGAGATGCCTCTAATTTAATTTGGGGATTTTTGAAGATGCATTTCTATTTGTAGAAATTGTTCGATGTTGACTTTAATTAAAAAAAAATCTTACCGAGGGTATTTTGAGGGTTTGATAATTTTACAGGGTATAGGTGCTCATGATAGACATAGGAAAATTATTATCCAAATTTTTAAAGAGGTTTAAGTTAGGTGAAAAATTCGACCAAGATAAAAACAATTAGGAAAAATGGTCGGTTTGGAAGGGATTATTTCTAGAAAAATTTTAAAGGAGGTTAAGGGACCTTTGGAGCGAGGCTCGAGAGCTGGATTTTGAGGAGAGGATGTTCTAGTGATTCAAAAGGGGTTTTAAATCGAGAAAAGTCGTCTAAAAAAATGGATTCTTATTAATAAGTTTCTCCAAGATAATCCGGCAAAGGAGGGGTTTCTTCGATGAAGGAATCGAGGAGTCATCTTTTCGAGGTGAGTGTAAAGGGGGTAAAATCTCTGTCGAGGTCTTTTTGTTTATGCTTTTATTTTCAGTAATGCTAGTTAATTTATGAGTTAGCGCGATTATGTGTGTGAGGCATCCCACCGCCTACTTAAGGTGGAGGCACGCGTTGTGCTTGTGTATGAATGTATGTATGTTTTAATGTATGGTAAGATGAACCCCCGGGCGGTTGGGCCACTATTGAACGCGGTAGATGGTCGGGTCACTGCTGGACGACGAGACGTAACGCAGCAGTTGATCGAGTATGTTGGGGTCACTACTGGACGGCGAGACGTAACGCAGTAGTTGACCGGGCATGGACTGGACGGCGAGACGTAACGCAGTGCCATTGCCGAGTTTGGGTATGCAAACGGATGGCGAGACGTAACGTGGTTGGCATACTAGGATATGGACACCGGACGGTGAGACGTAACGCGGTGGTCCCTAGTGTTGGTGTCTATGGGTTAAGAATATAGGTAAGGAAATTCTAAAGATAAGATAGGATTCGAGATCTCTTATAGACTGTTTGGTAATAAAGTATAAAGGATGAAAGAGAGAACGACTTTCGTCTAAGGAAGGCAATCCCCTAATAATGTGTTTAGTAAGGAGTTTGCCTAGGGCAAAGACCTTAGGAAGTAACGACGAGACTGACCCCTTCTCAATCACTAGGTCGAGGAAGGGTTAGCAGAGGCGTACTTCGAGAAGAGGCAGGGCGAGGCGAGTAGCTACACCAGCATTGATGAAAAGTCAAGGAGCTCGTGAAGAGTCAGAGCTAGAATAATTTAATTTCTTTGTTACATGGTTAGGAGTATAAACAGGAGATTCTGAGTTCATTCATTTTAAGTGTTGGGATTGTCATTTGCCCAAGTGTTCAACCTTTTGTTTGAAATTCTTAAACATTGTCGGTATATTTAATTTAAAGAGTTGTTTGGGTTGCTTCGGAGTAACCGGCTTGTGGTTTGAGTTATGGTTTGGTTTTCAAAAAGGATCAGGTCGTTTCATTTTGGTATCAGAGCCGACACTCCTTTTTTTCTTGGTCTTCAATGAATACTGGAGTGACGATCTGCGTTTTTCAAGGGTTCAGTTTTTAAAGGAAAGGAAAAAGGGAATGTCAGTTAAAAGTTTGGCCAAACGAGTTAGAGTCTTTCGGGAATTTTTAGAATCTCCAGTATACTCTAATCATCATAAGGAAATAAATTTAGGATGCCCGACGGGGTTAGTATATGTCTCGGGAAGAAGAGGAGGAGATTCCTAAGAGGATCGCTTAGTGAACTCTTTTCATGAGCGAGAAGAGGTTGTTCAAAGCTGCTCCTACCGTACGGGGATGCTAGCTGATTAGTATAAGGTTGTGGAGAGGCAAAAAAAAAACTCTTAGGGCGTCGATATACGGTAGACAAGGAGTTACGGGAAAAAGTGGCCATCATGTGGAGGAAAGGAAGCAGGAAATGTTCGTTGAGTTCGCGAAGTTTGAGCGTAGGGCTATGACCCAAGAGTAGAGGAGGCTAGACTGTAAGCAACGTTAAGGGCACTTAAGCAAAGCAATGAAGGAGTCAAGCATCGAGATAGACAATGTGAAGTATGAAGCTTGAAGAAGTCGCAAGGGGATATATTTCGAGGTCGAAATTTTTATTAAGAGAGGAGGAAATGTGATACTTTGACTTCTGTTTAAGGTCCGGGAAAAAAAAGTACTGAATGAGCTGGACCAATAAATTTAATCTAAATTTAGCCCCATCATGCCCTGGGGCCAAGTGGGGGAATGAAAAAGGATAAGTAGTCACTCGAAGGTATTCAATGCTAACGAACTTGGTGAGAATACCTTTTATGGTCAAGAGGAAATATAAGAAGTGAGATAGACTATACAGGACAAGCACCGAGCATCAATGAAATTCATATAGCAAGAGTGATATAGTAAGCCAAGGAAGCACGAGAATGAGGATATGGAAGGATAAATTCGAGCAAATTTCGGGGACGAATGTTTTTAATAAGGGTGGAGGAAATGTAACACCTCGACCTTTGGGTTCAGGTTCGACCATAATACGTGAACGTTTGGATTGACGGTTATGTACGAATGATTGCAAATGCGGATTAATAATAATAATAATAATTACTATTATATTATTATTACTATTATTAAAAAAATATATATATATATACTCAAGGTGGGAGCCGCTCGGCCCCCTGTAATCTTCCCCCACAAGAATTTAACCCCGCCCCTATCATTGTTGATTATTCCCCTTCCCCAGCCACAAACCCCACACAAACCTATTTCCCAAATCCCCCCTGGCGCTGCACCAACCCTTTTCCCCCACGCCAGTTCCTTTCCCCAGCTCGCGAATGGGAAAAGAAGAAGAAGGAAGAGAAGGTGCTAGCAATATTCCAACAACGTCATCCCCGTCCCTTTCCCCGCCTATCTTCACCACCGGACTCACGTTCAGGTGTTCGGTGCTATGTGATGACGTTTGAGGGTTTGAACATCGATCAACGAGGAGGTCAACGTTTTGGGTCATCTAATCTAGTTTTAGGCACGTTCTAGAAGTAAGAGAACTCGATTTCTTTGAGTTAGATTGATCAATTTGGTAATTTTTTTGTGAGGGTGCAATTCTAGACTTTTAGCAACAGACTTTATAGGCTTTTAGCGACAGATTTTGGGTGGTCACTATAATTTAACAGGGTATAGGTGGTCATGATAGACATAGAAAAATTATTATTCGAATTTTTAATAAGGTTTAAGTTAGATGAAAAATTCGTCCAAGACAAAAATAATTAGGAAAAATGGTCGGTTTTGAAGGGATTATTTCTAGAAAGTTTTTAAAGGAGGTTAAGGAACCTTTGGAGCGAGACTCGAGGGCTGGATTTTGAGGAGAGGATGTTCTAGTGATTCAAAAAGGGTTTAAATAGAGAAAAGTCGTCTAAGAAAATGGATACTTATTAATAGGTTTCCCCAAGATAATCCGGCTAAGGAGGGGTTTATTCGAGGAAGGAATCGAGGAGTCATCTTTTCGAGTTGAGTGTAAAGGGGGTAAAATATATGTCGAGGTCTTTTAGTTTATGCTTTTATTTTCAGTAATGCTAGTTAATTTATGAGTAAGCACGATTATGTGTGTGAGGCATCCCACCGCCTACTTAAGGTGGAGGCACGCGTTGTACTTGTGTATGAACGTATGTATGTTGTAATGTATGGTAAGATGAACCCCCGGGCGGTTGGGCCACTACTGGACGCGGTAAATGGTCGGGGTCACTGCTGGACGGCAAGACGTAACGCAACAGTTGATCGAGTATGTTGGGGTCACTACTAGACAGCGAGACGTAACGCAGTAGTTGACCGGGCATGGACTGGACGACGAGATGTAACGCAGTGCCATTGCCGAGTTTGGGAATGCAACCGGACGGCGAGACGTAACGCTGTTGGCATACTAGGATAGGGACACCGGACGGTGAGACGTAACGCAGTGGTCCCTAGTGTTGGAGTCTATGGTTTAAGAATATAAGTAAGGAAATTCTAAAGATAAGATAGGAGTAGAGATCTCTTATAGACTATTTGATAATAAAGTATAAAGGATGAAAGCGAGAACGACTTTCGTCTAAGGAAGGCAATCCCCTAATAATGTGTTTAGTAAGGAGTTTGCCTTGGGCAAAGACCTTAACGACTAACGACGAGACTGACTCCTTCTCACTCACTAGGTCGAGGAAGGGTTAGCAGAGGCGGACTTCGAGAAGAGGCAGGGCGAGGCGAGTACCTGCACCAGCATTGATGAATAGTCAAGGAGCTCGTGAAGAGTCAGAGCTAGAATAGTTTAACTTCTTTGTTACATCTTACATGGTTAGGAGTATAAACTGGAGATTCCGAGTTCATTCATTTTAAGTGTTGGGATTGTCATTTTCCCAAGTGTTCAGCCTTTTTGTTTGAAATTCTTAAACATTGTCGGTTTATTTATTTTAAAGAGTTGTTTGGGTTGCTCTGGAGTAACCGGTTTCTGGTTTGAATTATGGTTTGATTTTCAAAAAGGATCGGGTTGTTTCAAACCCAGTCAATGATAGGTTTGTCCCTCATATTGAAAATAAGTATAAGTCATGCTCATCATTCAAATGATACCATTATAGATCGTTATGACTCCTGAAAATTCACAACTTCAATATCTATTGCTAATAAACCTTAAGAAGTTGAGATGATATCGATCTCGAAACCAATAGAACTAAAGCCAGAGATACCATTATATATCATTATACGCATAGAAAAAATTGTCTTGCAACTTCACTATATGATGTTAATAAGACCTGAAGGAGTTGAGGGGGATATCGAACGACATATAGTTTGAATTTGCCTTGTTTATAAAAAAGTGAGATTTTGGAGTAGTAGAGACGTAGAGTTCTTTTTCGAGATGTACTTTAATTTATTGACATGACAGTAGCACAACATTGACATATCTTTGAAGGAGGTCCAAGAGTGAAACATTCACATATTTTGTAATTAAACACTCAAGAAATTAACATAATTTAGATGAACGAAAGAGAAAGACAATTGGTTTTACTGAGCATCTAGTCAAAGTGTAGTTGTAGTCTTACACTGCAAACCCTATACACTTATGGTTCTACATTACCTTTGTTATTTTATAAAATATATCAAACAAATTTTAGATATAGAGACACTTGTCCTTGCTTCATATTAGCGTCCAATGTTAATTTAATAACCCACACCCAAAAATTGGACAATGATAGTAGTTGTAGTGCTCTTCCTTGTAGCTCGTAATATATGCCTCTGCCCCCTTACATTTTTACTCTCTTTATAGAGCGACTGAGTCATCTTATCTCTAAGTCGCTCATGACGAGCCAATGTCAGTCGATAAAGTTGGCAAGCCAGGGTCCCGCTCTCTTACATATTTTTTTTAGATGACCTCATCCTATTTGGAGGAGCCTCGATGGAGCAAGTTAATGCTATGATCCGCTGCTTTGAGACGTTTGGCGCGACCTCCAGCCAATAAGTCAGCAAGTCGAAGTCAAGGGTCTTCTTCTCAGGGAATGTTTCCCAACAACATCGAACATCCTTGCCGGAAACTCTGGGGATACCTCAAACATCAAACATGGGGCGATATTTCGTCGTCCCAGTCATCCATGATATAATATCCAAAGCTACTTATACTAACTTGATAGATCTTATGATGCCCACCTTGCAATTTGGAAAGCCCCACAATGTCCATTGTGGCTCGAGTCACCCTAGCTCAATCCCTCTTATCATCCCTGATGTCAAGTTATCAATATCATCACCTTCTCCATTTAAATAGGTAGAGGCGAGCATAGCAGAGGGAGGCAGAGCAAGGCGGGAGGAGTGGACAGAGGGAGCAAAGAGTAGACGCGCGAAAGCAGCGACCAAAATCATCGTAAACCAACTGGTCCGAAAAACTCGAATCGTGGGAAGAGGTTCATGCATGATACTTAATCACTTCCTTACACGCTCCCTCAAACAAAAGCCAACTCAAAGACTTGAAGTTTGCACATGCCATAAATCAACTGGTCCTTGCTCGAGATAATACCGTTGGTTGTATATATCAACGTCCTCCCCAACCTACGAGAAAATAACAAAGAGGTTAGTACATAGATTAATTAAAAAACTTATAACAACAACAAAAATTAAAACCAGAATAATGAGTACATACCGCTTGAAATTCATCAACGTAAACTCCCTCTCCTTGCCACCAATCGGCCATTTTTTCGGCGCAATTCGGACAGAGCTTCGGCTCGGCGGGTTTTGAGGAAAAAACCTAAGAAATATTTTCTGATGGGAGATCGGACTTAGCCGCAACCAACAGACTTCTATTTCCTAGGCTTTTGGGAGGGGAGGGTTTAGAGAGATAAAATCTAGAGAGAGAAGGAAGAATGGGTTGTGGTGTGAAGAAATGAGAGGGGAAGGGGGAGTATTTATACCCATCAGACCGCACCCTCAAGGGGCGTTCTTGTAATTTTCCCCTCGCAGAAACCGCTCCCTTCCGATGCGGTTTGCGAGTCACGAGGCGCTGACCGCTCCTTGCAGGTGCGGTCCTCGATCCATGGCGCGGATCGCTCTGCTGGCGCGCGGTCCGCCGTCCGATCGCTCCTCCATCCAACGGTCTTGAAGACCGTTCCGCAGAGAAAGCACACCGCACCTTGGCACTGCGGTTCGCGTGCTGATGTGGCACGGAACGCACCTTAGGGGTGCGTTCCGTTAGAAAAGGTGCTACAATTGTAAATATTTTTATTTGGGTGTTAGTTTTGTAATTTTTTTTTAATGGTGCTAAAATTGGAAAAAACTCCAATAATGACCGGACTGTTGCTAGTTGATATCCCAAGTCAGTGAGTGTTGAGGGAAGTGAGAAGCGAGGTTGGAGTACCAACAGAGGCGCGAAGGGAAAGAATAGACAATAGAGGCGAGTTGGGAGACTCTCGCCGAAGAGAGAAAGAAAATGACTATGTTGTTTGGTTAGTGATTTGAATGTAAAATTAAAATGAATAATAAATTGATTTATGTTAACTCTCATAAGGCATCACACACTGTACTTTCGACCCGATGTGTCCTCTTCATGCTTGTAATGTTGATATCCTGCAGGCCGGTTCAATTAGGTATTGGTCACCAGTCACCATACCGACGGGAAAAGGTCGGTTTTCTGTTTTGGTAAAATTTGGGATATATTGATCAAATATGGAAAAATTGGCCGGTCAGACAAGAAACTAAGTTTAAGTACTTTCACACATGTCCTCCAAAAATAAACACCAATAATGAAATTTGTACTAATTACCTCACGTTCACTAGTCTCATTTGTACACTAATAGGTTACAAGGAACTTAATAATACATATTAACCTAAAAATCATTGTAAACATTAATAAAATTCATATTATACACTTTTAGTTTTACGTAATTAATTGTTTACCATTAGTTACTAATTCTTAACTATAAATTATATTATGTGAATTTAACTTTCTTCCTAACTAATTTATTTAGTGTTGATGATTTGTCATTTTTTCATATATTCTACTAAAACCGGTACAAACTGATTCTACTTGTCTTAGTAGTGCACTTGCTTCATTAGTACGGTTTAAATTGATTTGACAACCTTATTCCTCTTCTCTTGCAAGGGCGCGAACCTTCTTTCAATTTCGTTGAAAGCGAAACGCTCTTCTCCATAGCTCTCGAACTCTCTCGTCGAAAGTCCTCAATTTCTTTCACCTCAATTCCTCCTCTGTAAACTTTTGTAAAAGGACAAATGAAATGGAGAGTAAAGCTCAGCTGTGCACTGAGTCTCCAGTAGCTTTTATAGCTACGAATTCAATTAACAAACATTGTCCAGGTGTCCTTACATGATTGGGCATTAATTTAAACAAACAGTGGAAATTAACGGCTAACAAACTAAACAGTACGCTGCCGTTTTCTCTTCTGTCATACTCCTTCTTCTTCTTGTAAACGCTGTCGTTCCTCAGTCCTTAGCTCACAAGGATTCGCTGCTCTGCAATCCAACTCTGTCACCCCCCTTCAAGTTGGTGGTGCTTCTGCAATCCCCAACTTGCCAAGCATGTCTTTCAATTTGAAACGATCCAACCCCTTTGTAAAAATGTCAGCCAGTTGATCACCTGTATTCACATGCTTCAGTTTGATTAATCCAGTCTTGATTCTTTCCCTTGTAACATGCATATCGATCTCAATATGCTTGGTTCTCTCGTGGAAAACAGGGTTTTCTTCTATGTGTATAGCAGACCTGTTATCACAAAACACAGAGATTGGTAAAGGCACTTCCACTGTCAATTCTGAAAGTAATCTCTTCAACCATTCCACTTCACAAACCAAATGTGCAAGTGCCCTGTACTCTGCCTCGGATGATGACCTCGACACTGTAGTTTGCTTCTTAGTTTTCCAGGTGAGGAGTGATGAACCAAGGAAAGTACAGTAACCTGTGATTGAACGACGTGTATCTGGACAGCTTGCCCAGTCTGAGTCACTGAATCCTGTTAATTTTGCCTCTGATCCACGCTTAAACATAATGCCTTGATCTGGTGCTGTTTTGAGATACCTTAGAACCCTGTAAGCTGCTTGCATGTGTTCATTACAAGGGTTCTTCTGGTACTGGCACAACTGCTGGACAGCAAACACTATGTCTGGCCTGGTTATGGTGAGGTAATGGAGTCTACCTACCAGTCTCCTATAGGCTTCCCCATCTTCCATTGGTGTTCCCTTAGCACACAGCTTCACTTTAGGATCAACAGGTGTTTTGCAACCTTTAGCTTCCAGGTAACCTGTATCTTTCAGCAAATCAACACAATATTTCCTCTGACAAACACTCAAACCTTCCTCATTTCTATTCACTTCCAGACCAAGAAAGTATTTCAGTGGTCCAAGTAATTTTATCTTGAATTCCTTGCTCAAAGCAGTTTTGATTTGATCAAGGTCCTTCTGTGCATCACCTCCTATGATTATGTCATCTACATAAACTAGGAGGACTGCAATTCTTCCATGTGTCCACTTGGTGAATAAGGAGTAGTCAGATGCTGATTGTGAGAATCCCAGTTTCAACAAGAAACTGGTTAACTTAGCAAACCACTGTCTTGAGGCCTGTTTCAGGCCATAGAGTGATTTCTTAAGCCTGCAAGTCATCTTCTGATTTCCTACTGACTCAACCTTCAATCCCAGTGGTATCTTCATGTACACAACCTCTTCCAAATCACCATGTAGGAAGGCGTTTGACACATCCAGTTGCTCCATTTTCCAGTTCTTCATATTTGCCACAGCCAGAAAAGTCTTGACTGTATTTATCTTGGCAACTGGTGAGTATGTGTCTAGAAAATCTATGCCATAGACTTGTGTGTAGCCTTTGGCTACTAACCTTGCCTTTTCCCTCTCCAAAGATCCATCTGGTTTGAACTTATACTTAAACACCCACTTGTTCCCTATCTCCTTCACATTTGGTGGCAAAGGCACCACATCCCAAGTCTGATTCTCATCCAAAGCATACAGTTCAGAATTTATTGCCCTATTCCATGCCTCTGATTTGATTGCTTCATAGTATGACTTAGGCTCCTCATGATTCACAACACTTAAAGCAAACAGTCTGTCTACAGGACTCAGACTATCAATATTCAAGCAAATTGAATGCTTGCTGCAAACATTGGCCTTACCATATGGTCCAAAAGAGATGGAAGGATCCAACTGGTAATCACTGTACTTACTAGGCAGTTTAACAGCTCTCTTTGATTTGCCTTTGTCCTGCAGAAACTCAGTGTCATGATCAACTTCAGCTTGTTGGAGTATTTCCTGGTCATCAGACTCAAAGTAGACATAGTCATCATGAACCAATGGTGATGAGGTGCCTGGTGGAATGGTGCCAGATTGCTCATGATGGACTGCCTCTACATGATCCTCAGGCTGCCCCCCTTCATCTGTGGATGAATGAAACTGAGGAGAATGTGGTGGGGAAGAAAGAGGAACATGCAAAGAAGGAGCTGGAATAGGGTCTGTAGGTGGAGAGAACAGGAAGTTGGGGGAAGAAGAAGGGTTGGAGGGAGACTGATCAATGGAATGGAAAGGGAAAATGGTTTCATAGAAAACCACATCTCTGGAGATGTAAGTTTGTCTGGAGTGAATGTCAAGAACCTTATAACCTTTCACACCAGCAGGAAAGCCAAGAAACACACACTGTCTTGCCCTGGGAGCAAGTTTGGTCCTCCCATGGGAAAGAGTGTTGGCATAGCAGAGGCTGCCAAACACTCGAAGGTGTTTCAAAACAGGTGGTTCATTGTAGAGAACCTCATAGGGGGATTTGTTTTGTAAAATAGGGGTGGGAATTCTGTTAATAAGATAAACAGCATGTAACACACAATCACTCCAATATTCTAAAGGTAAACCAGACTGAAATTTCAGTGACCTGGCCACATTAAGGATGTGTTGGTGTTTCCTTTCCACTCTCCCATTTTGTTCTGGGGTTTCAACACAGGAAACCTGGTGTTCAATTCCCTCAGCAGCAAAGTAATCACACATCTCAAATTCTTTGCCCTGATCACTTCTAATGGCCTTAACAGTGGTATTGAATTGATTCTTAACCAAGTTGCAGAAGCCTTGAATGAGCCCTCTCACCTCACTCTTGTGTCTCATCAAATATATCCAAACACTTCGAGAACAATCATCCACAACAGTTAAGAAATAACAATAACCATCATAAGAAACAACTGAGAGAGGTCCCCAAATATCCATGTGCAATAAATGAAACTTCTCAGGTGCTGTGTTGGTGCTAATGGGAAAGGGAAGTTTTTTTTGTTTGGAAAGATGACAAACATCACAGTGTGCTAACTTAGACTGAGTTACATTAGGAATAAGATTGTGAAACATAGACAATCTGTCATGACTAGGATGGCCTAATCTCCAATGCCAAAGGTGTATGTCTTGAGGCTGGAAATTGAAGATGGAGGCTGCTTGGTGGACTGGTGGAGGAAGACTTGAAGAAATAATCAGTTGGTAAAGACCCCTAGACTCTTTTGCAAAACCAATCTTCTTCCTGCTTAGAAGGTCCTGAATAGAGCAATGATCAGATTGGAAATGTAAGGACAAGGGTTGATCTTGAGTAAGTTTACTAACTGATATGAGATTGAAAGAAAAACTAGGAACTAAGAGTACATCATGAAGAGTTAACCCTGTAGGTAAAACAACTGTACCAATACAGGTGACTGGGACTTGAGACCTATTTGGAAGAAAAACATAGGTCTCAGTGACTGGATGGTATGAAGTGAACATAGTCATGGAACATGCTATGTGGTCTGAGGCACCTGTGTCTAGGATCCACAAACTATTACTGTTGGTTTTAGCTACATGGGAAGAGGAAATTATGTGTATACCTGAGTGGTTAGGGAAAGGTGGTGGATAATAAGAGGCAGTGAAGGCTTGGTGGTTCACAGATGGTGAGGAAGGTGGTGAAGGAAGGGTATTAGCACCAACTTGCAGCAAGGACCTGAGTCGAGCCATTTCTTCAGCAGTAAAGGTAGATGGATTTTGGCTCATACCTTCTCTGGTTGTGTGTCCTTCTGAGTGAGATTCACTTACATTGTTTCCTCCCCCCTGAGCAACTGACCCTGCAAACCTGGGTGTTCCAGAACTAGAGCTAGAACTGGAGTAGCCATCCTTCTGCTGTTGTTCCCCTTGTTTCTTCTTTAGCCACCAACAATCCTCAATGTTGTGATTGGTTCGTTTGCAATATCTGCAATACTTTTTACCCTGAGGATTGTCTGTGTTTCCCTTGTTGTTAGAACCTGAAGCTGCTAATGCAAGTGTTTGATTCTTCTTTCCCCCTGAAACTGCATCAGCCTTGAGCTTCTGTTCATGCTGCAGAAGATCATCAACTGCCTCAGAAACACTAGGTAGTGGCTTCTGCATCAACAGTTGTGTCTTGATAACTTCATATTCTGGGTTGATTCCTCGAAGGAACTTGATCAAGTAGTCTGTCTCCTGCTTCAGTACAAAGGCCTCAACTGCTGCACAAGGCATGGTTGAACCAGGAGCACAGGCACAGGGTACAATTGGGCAAAATTCTGTATACTCATCCCAGATTCCTTTGATTACCGTATAATACTGATTGATGGTTCTGGTACCTTGTTTACAAGCCAGAAGCTCATCTTCCAAGTTTGCAATCCTCATGGCATTTGGCTGTCCAAAACGCCTCTTCAACTCTTCCCAAAGGGTTTTACAGTTGTTGTGGTTCAACACTGCACGTCTCTGTTCCTTAGTCATGGAGTTTTGTATCCAGCACAAAACCACAGTGTTGCAAGCATCCCAAATACCAAATAGATCTGACCCAGGTGTGGGTGTTGGGATAGATCCATCCAGAAATCCAAGCTTGTTCTTGGTTTTTAAGACAACTTGAATGGATCTTGCCCACATAGTGTAATTAGTTCCATCAAATGGTTCTGCAACCAGTGACTGTGCCATATTCTCATTAGGGTTCAAGTAGTAAGGATTACCAAATGTGATGGTCTCTGTGATGGGTTGTTGCTGTTGTCCAAAGGATCCAAACTGGAAACGTCCATTGTTGGTGTCTCCTGTTGTTCCACTTGCACCACCACCAGATCGTTGATTTCCACCAGGCTGCGGCGTGCTTTGTTCACCAGACATTCTTCAAAGGTGCAGTCGAAACCCTAGGGTTCGCTGTGCTCTGATACCATGTAAACTTTTGTAAAAGGACAAATGAAATGGAGAGTAAAGCTCAGCTGTGCACTGAGTCTCCAGTAGCTTTTATAGCTACGAATTCAATTAACAAACATTGTCCAGGTGTCCTTACATGATTGGGCATTAATTTAAACAAACAGTGGAAATTAACGGCTAACAAACTAAACAGTACGCTGCCGTTTTCTCTTCTGTCATACTCCTTCTTCTTCTTGTAAACGCTGTCGTTCCTCAGTCCTTAGCTCACAAGGATTCGCTGCTCTGCAATCCAACTCTGTCATCCTCCGCCTTAAAAACCCGAAATAGCCAAATTCAGCCCCGCAGAGCTAATGGTCCGCATTCCACCAGAACGATGGCGGCTACCTGTTTGCAACGACGCGCTTCAACCCTAGCCCGATTCAGTCGACAGACTCTTCCATCCTCGTCGAGACAGTTCGCCTCCGATTCCGGCGCCTTGGTCGAGCTCCCCGGCGAGGCCGCAATTGTCGCACAAATCCCCGAACAACAGCGTCGTAGAAGGGTAAGCTACCGGCTTAGCCTTACTCCGTGATCGAGATTGATTTTTTCAAATTTAGTATGTAGAATGCAAGATTGAACGGATTGCATTTCTCGCATTGGCTCCATTTCGAGCGGGTTTCTTTCCGCCAGTTGAATTGCCTGCAATTGTTTTCTTGAGCAGAGTCCCGGAGCTTCCCCGATTTTGTATTCTAAACTTTTTTTCTTGTAAATTTTGGGAGCTAGGTCGTAATCTACTCGCCAGCTCGGGCTGCGACGCAACAGGGATCTGGAAAAGTTGGGAGATGGTTCATTAATTTCCTTTCTGTACACAAGTACGATTCTCTACTCTATGACTTGCCATCCGAAGTCTGAACTTAGCATTTCCTTTTGCAATTGCTCAACTTCCCCAATTCTGATTATCAAATGCTTGTAGTATATCTCATTCTTGTAATGTGGAACCTATAGCCTGTTTATGAATCTGTATCCTAATGCATTTGAAATCAAGAGGTGTAGGACAGTTTGAGTTGCAGCACTTGGCAGTAGATGTGAACGACAACACTTAATGTTAGACCAGTCCTCTCAGACATTGTTTAACTGTGCTTCTGGTTCTAAGACTGTACACTCTTTGTTCAGGTGGGAGAATCCATTGATGGGTTGGACATCGACCGCAGATCCATATGCGAATGTTGGTGATGCAGGGCTTAGTTTTGATAGTGCTGAAGCTGCAATTGCATTTGCTGAAAAGCATGGTTGGGAATACTCGGTAAGTCTTAATCTTCAAGCCTTAAGGATGGCCATGCCTCGTCTATTGGCATTACTGTTTTCCACTCTCCACAAGTATGATTGCAACGTACTAATCCGCGTACTCGATATCTGGTGCAGGTCAAGAAGTTCCACGCCCCTATTCTAAAGGTTGGATCTTTACCATTCTTCGATTCGAATTGTTGGCCATTCTTTAGCTGTCTATTAACTACATTCGTCTGTGTCCTATAACAAGCGAGCATCTGCAAGATAAGTTTAATGTGAGTTCTTGACCTTATATTAATGTTGTGTGTCTGTGCTGCAGCCGAAGTCCTATGCTGACAACTTCAAATGGAAGGGTCCACCTCCTGCCGAGGATCACCAGTGAAAGACGTCTTTGACTTTCCGGGTTGTTGTAAGCTATCAGTCAAAACCTTGCAGTACCACCTGCTCTTTTGTCAATACTAGTATGTATGTGTCAATGTAGATATTGGTTTAAGTGTAATGTGTGGCCTTGTATCGAAGCGGGGCACGCTTGCATGTCCTCTCCTGGATATTAACGCATAACGCTCTAAGAATGTACAAAAGCCTGAGTTATACCGGTTTCTGTTATGAGCAAAAAATGGATTTCTAGCTTAGTTATGGGAATCCTCTGCCCAGTTCTTTGTTTTATTCGTCTATTCATTGTTCTTGGAGTTGTGCAGACCTTATTCGGCTGTCCAAGTCCTTGCACATCCACAACGATTTTAGACATTTACCCAACAGGATTCACAAACGGACATTTACCCAACTGGATTCACAAACGAACTACTCTAAGCATTTTAAATAAGCTAAAAGAGAGAGAGACTATGTATATAACACTATCTAATTGACTGCACTTTTATACAGGTAGGGTGCAACGTAACATGCATTCTCAGTGCTACTATCCACAGCTGGTGAAATTATCTTCAGACATTGCTGCTGCCTTGGGACCCTTGTCTCGCAGGGGTGTGAAACCTCCAGGTGAACATATAATCCTTGGACTCGCATGACAATCTGCTTACGTCACAGAAGGCACTGATACAACTCTTCTTACCTGGATTCCCCCATTCAATCCTGACCCAGCATGAGAACCCATTAGATGAAACCGGCACCCTCGAATCGGAAAGGTGCAGTGCCACCTCCCCACAAATTCTCTTGCAGCACGAGTTGCTGTTGCATCCCAGTCGACCATTCCCCATCGTCACCATGGAATTCAGCCACGAACATTCCGGCTGACCAACCATTTCCTTATATGCAGAATTTGCCAGCCTCACCTTGTTGTTCGAATCTGATATTACAGCTGGTAGGACATCGGACTCCACTTCTTCCTCAACCTGCTCTGGCTTCTTCGGACCCTGAAGAGGTAGGACCCCTGTGTTTTCATTGATGCAGGCAACTCTAATGCTCGAACCAACTGGTCGGACCGGATGGGGGGCTATAACAGCAGGGCGAGGTTCCTGCAGTTGCCGCAGCAGATCTTTCTCCTCTGGTACCTCCACCACGGTGTTCAAATCTATGTCCTCCTGACTCGGTGCCATGCATCTCATCAGCTCATGCAGAGGCGGCATTCCTCCTTGGTTTGTTGTACCTACTGCGGCAACTGAAGGAGGAGGAAGAAGTGGAAGTGTCAAGGGCGTGGTAACGAGTGACGAGTTGTCGAAGCTGCTACTCATCCCACCAAGGCTATGAAGCGCCGGAAGCTGGTTAGAGAACCCATGAAGAAACCCTTGCATGGAGAGATGCTTGGCAGGGGACGAGGAAAGGCCAATGGGCATTTGATGATGGATTCTCTGCCTTTTGATGACTGGTGGAGATAAAGAAGATCCTCTGCCCCTCTTGCGGGTTCTTGTTGGCCTGGCCTGCAATTGTGGCCACAGGTTCCTCAGGTAAGGGGATTGCCTGATCTTCTGAGACATGCCGGAAGAGTTGGAATTTGAGTTCTCGTCCTCGCCTGAATTGGAAGGACAGTCTGGCTTGGGTGCAATGGGCCTGTACCTGGACATTATCTCAGCCGTTTTGGCTGTGGTTGAGTAAGGAGCCAATGTCTTGATCATGATAAGAAATTTGTTCTTTTAACCCTTTCTGTTCAGTTTCAGATTGTGCGAGAGAGAAAGAAACAGACTTTGAAAGGGCTGGAGAATTTCTGATTGTTGGTTAGAAGAGAGGCGAGGGAAGCATTTCTATTTGCAGGTTCACCAAGGGAGGGATAATTGAAAAGAGAAGGAAGGGGAAGGCGTAGGGGAGTAAGATGGTTGGCGGTGGTGGGGAGATTTAAGTAGGTGGGAGTGGCCAATGAGAAGGAGGCAGCATGAAGCAAAGAGGAAGGAAATGGTGACACTTGGAAATGGGAATGTGGGGTACGTGTTTGAGAGGGTTTTAAAAGCAAGGACATGTGGGTTACGAGTGGGGTAGTGGGTCCATGCATGCTAACACATATCAAGTTCACTGGATATGGTCTTCTTCTCTTCTGGCTAGCTTCGCTTCTTTCAGGCAGAAGAAGGGTGAAAAAAGGTGGCAAGGGAGAGTGAACTGAAAACTGAAAGGAATCAGCTCAGTGAATTCAGCAGAGTAACTATTACTGTTTTAAGGTTTTTTTCTTTGGCCCATGAAACCCACCAATCAAGAAAGGAGTAGGAGGGGCAGTACTCTCAACTCTGTACAGTTCCTTTCCCCACTGTGGACTGACTTCCATTATAACGCGTGTGGCGTTGGCTGCCATGCGTGGATCCACCTATCAGAATTTGGTGTGGGAGGTTGGCGGAATGGAAATCAGCTTATTTACCACTCTGCCACCCACGCTGGTGCAAGAAATCTAGCGGGAGTCGGCTGTTCTTGGAAGTTTGCGACACGCGTCGAGTGAGCAGACTGGTGCGTTGCATGCAAAGGTATCGAGAGTCGAGTTTGTTGTCCTCTATCTTCTGTGAAAGGTTTTGAGATATTTTTTGTTTTGTTTTTTAAGCGTTCTTGTTTATTTTATGTTGCCTGTTTCCTACTGGCAGAGGTGATGGTAAAAACGTGGGAGTTGGAGATGTTGTTGGGAGGCGTGCTGCTGTTTCTGTTTTTGCCTATCAGCGCCGGAGGATGAGCGGTGCTTTTGCTGTCTACCTACCACGTCATCAAAATGGCTGCCAGCGAATAGCTCTTCTCCTTCAGTTTTTGTTCCTGCTTTTACTGGTGCGTTACTCCCTCTCTACCCTCTCTCTCTCTCTCTCTCTCTTATCCTATCTTCAAAGTTGGTTTCTTATTTGTTAATCGTTTCCTTTCTGATATCTTTATTCTTTTCTTTCTTCTTTACTCCTCGGTAGTTAGTACCTTCCATGAGTATTATATACACTTTCAATACAGCATCAGCATGACAGTAAATACTAGTGGTTGTCTGAGTTTAGTACAAGGTGGTGTAACGACAGAGTTCGTGAGTAGGGGCTAACCCCATTTCGTTTTATTGGTTAATGTAAAATGGAATCAATTAAGCATGTTATTTTGTTTTGCCTATTGGTTCGAACACAAAACTGTTTTAAGGCACCATTTACATAGCAAACCCAGTGCTTTCCGAGGTGAATTGTTTGTGAATACCTGTCTCAAACGGGTGAATTGTTTTTGAATACCTGTCTCAAACTGGAGATCTGGTGAGTAACCTTTTGTGGTGAGTAATTCCATGCATAACCCAATAAGAATCTGCCACATCAGCCCCTCCTTCTCTTTCCTGGAAAAATCATTAATTTTCTTTCCTTTAATCTTTAACGGACTATTTCTCACTCGTTTTAACTCGGAATTTAATTTTTTTTGCATAGTTAGATCGGACTAATTGTACTATTCAAAATGATATCCACTTTGATATTTTTTGGAAAAAAAAATTTGTCAGTCATTACCAGTCTATACCATATGGTATTGACTGGTATTAAAAAACAGCATACCATATGGTATGAAAAATACCAGTCAATACCATATGTTGTTATTTAATACCAGTCAATATCGGGTTAATTGTATGGTTGGTCACTGAGATTACAAAAAACGTTCATGTTTGGTCACTGGAAATATTTAAATCCAACCTTGGTCACTCAAATTAGTTAAATGGTTCAAATTTGGTCACTCTCCGTCCAACTCCGTTAAATTTGTCTGATGTGGCAGTCAACCCTCAAAGTTGACCGTTAAATGGGTGACGTGGCAATTAAAAAATAATTACCCAGAACCAGCAGAAACACCTGCAGCAGCGGTTCCTTTCTTCTTCATCATCAACGCCGGATTCGGCCTCCGTTTCTCTTCAAAGTTGCCCGGCCAGGTTCGGGTCGGGTACTGGTAAAGATCCGATTCCTCTTCTTACGCCTCTGGTTTCGCCGACGGCCGGGTTCCAGCACCTGCAGCAGCAGCAGGGGATTTGTTTTGGCATTGTGAGACGTGGAGATTGATGAGCGTCTGATGATAAGATTAGTTTGATAGATTTTCTCTTTGATTAAGATTTAGCCTTTTGTTCTGTTTTGTGGTTCGACGAGATTGAGTAATTGGGACTTGTTTAATTCGATTGTTTGATCTCTTGATTGTGTAAAGATTGTTTCTCTGTTTTTATTTTTGGAGTGTCTGGTAGTTTGATCTCTCCTACAGTTTCACCATTATCATAGCTGTTTAACTTTGATGTTGATGTTCGTTGGAACATCTTTGAATTTGTAATCGAGCAATATATTAGTAGAATGGAGCCTAAACTAGGGTTAGGCACATAGTGGGAACTTCGAGGTTTGGCATCGAGTCACCGGCTTAAAAAGCGTCGACCGCCATGATCGGCCTCCTCGCCTCCACTTGTCTCGACACGAACAGCGTGATGTCCGGCCTCATGTTGAACAGGGTCCTGGTGAACTCCCTCACCGCCGCCGGCACGTCCGCCCCCACCGCCAGCGGCGCGAATACCTGCACCCACGCCTCGTAATTCGCCTCCATCGCCGTGAAAACCTCCTCGATCTCGCTCTGTTCGTAGCCCCGTGGTAGTCCTTGTCGTTAAGAAACCTAAATCCCCCACAAACCGAAACCTCTCTCAATTAGAAATTTCCGAAATCTGGATTCGATTTCAGTGAAAATTAAAGGGGGATTTTGAAATTGGGGACTTGGGGAGGCGCCGATGAGGATGAGCTTGGAGAAGAGCTCGGGGCGACGGATGGAGGCGAGGAGGCCGATCATGGCGGAGACGGAGTGGCCGACGTAGGAGCAGCGGTCGACGCGGTGGGCGTCGAGGATGTTGAGGAGGTCGTCGACGTAAGGGTCGAGGGTGGTGTAGCGGTGGAAGTCTAAGTAGTCGGGGTTGACGCTGCCGGCGCAGACGAGGTCGTAGAGGATGACGGTGGTCACTCTCAGTCAACCCTCAAATTTATTTTATTTATTATTTTTTAATTGCCACGTCACCGAGTTAACGGTCAACATTGAGGGTTGACTGCCACATCAGACAAATTTAACGGAGTTGGACGGAGAGTGACCAAATTTGAACCATTTAACTCATTTGAGTGACCAAGGTTGGATTTAAATATTTCCAGTTACCAAACATGAACGTTTTTTGTAATCTCAGTGACCAACCATACAATTAACCCAGTCAATATCATATGGTATTAGATAACAGCATACCATATGATATGAAAAATACCACCTCATACCAGGGTGATATAGTATGATATGGAGTTGGTAACGAGAGGTTTGAAATTTTTTCCCCCAAAAAATTTTGAAATCCAATAGATCATGATTAAATCGTTCTTTTTGTGCAAAAATTTTCGAAAATGACTAAACAACGAATGAGATACCATATGGTATGGAGTTGGTAATTTTTTTTTCTCAAAAAATATTGAAAATGGATATCATTTTGTAGAGCACAACGAACTCGTTCCATCTGTGCAAAAAAAAAAAAAAATTTGAAATTCGAGTTAGAATGAAGAAGATATGGTCCAATTAAGAAAACTAGGGAAAATAAATTTCTTTAATTCTCCACTCTTAGATCCGCAGTCACTTAAAAGAAGGGTCCAGATTTGGTTACTCATTGTTACTCACCTTAAGGTTACTCACCCTATCTTGAGCCGTCTCAAACGGCTAACAGAACTTTGATTTCTCAACCATAATCCCTTTCAAAGTGAAAAGGAATCATTAAAGAAAAGTCTCTCAACCATAATCCCTTCAATCTTCTCAATTCCCGACCCTTTTCTCACCCAAAGGCCGCAGGTCATACTTCTCAATTCTGTTCTTTAATCCCTAATTTTCAAATTTTCAATCTAAATTCCTAATTCTATTTACACACCCTAAATCTTTGTTACGAGTAATCGTGGGTGTCCAAAATCAGAACTGAGACACCCTAGAAGAGGATTTCTTACTGTTTGTCTGGAATCACTTCTAGTATACGGTGTTTTTTATTACCGTTTTCTCGTGTAGAATCTACTATATAATCTGTCAATATAGGTGAGGTGGTTATTGGAAATTCTAAGACTTCGTTGAAGAGAGTTGGTACACTAGCAATGTTGGTTGGTCTCAAGATGAACATCTTATTCTTACAAAAAGAAAAAGAAAAAAAAAGATGAACATCTAAGAACAGAAGATCCAATGAAAGAGTGAAGAAAGTAATAAGCTTCTATAGACTTCCACCCCAAAATCTTGAACAGGTTTTGCTCAAACTAATAAATTTTAGAGTTCTACTTCTATCTAAAAGAACATAACAGAACAACTCCATGCCCGTAATGGCCTAACTTGTATATTCACTCCATAACAAACTAAAATATGATGCCTCCCAAATAACGTAATCTAGCAGTAGATCAATGTCTGCACAGGAAACACCCCCCCCCACGTCTTCTTACCATCTCTTGGAGGCTACCCTTCTGCTAAACACCACCCTAAGTAGCTTAGTTAGTAGTGGCATCGGCGCCATCTCCCCCACCGGTGCAAAAGATCTTGAGGCAGCAGCAGAAGAAATTGCAGCTGCCCAAATTTAGAAAGAAAAAAAAAAACAACTGGAAGGTAAGTAACAGAAGAGTTTAAGATGTTTAGATTTCAATTACAATAGAAAGACACTTTGATGAAGTAACCATGATTCGAGGGAGCAGCAGCAACATTCACTTTCAGGCTGGGACTGTTGTGCATAGATTATCACCTGCGTTTGTACCGGCACCGGAGAAGGAGGATAGGGACCTAGTTAGAATCACAATTGAGGATCAAGGCAGAATTAGAAGTATCCTGAAAACAAATTCAAACGAAAGAGGTGGAATGTCAAATGTGTTTAAGGCAGAGTCGCGGCTAACCTTGTGACTGATCCATTTGATGCTCTCAGTTGTCACTTCAGTTCGTGATGCTGTACAATCAAAGGAGTACAGAGTGAAAGAGCTGAAGAGAAAAGATGAAGCGGTGAGAATGGGGATGGGATGGGTACTAAAGATATACTAATTAGAAGATAACAAATCGAGGTGTGGAAGAAATATCCTCCCATAATTACGTCCCTTAATGATTTGCAAACTGTAATTAGGTCCTTAATTGCTGCAGTTAATTCGAGGTTTCGAAATCATTGTCATTGCACTACGTTCTTTCTTGTTCTGGAAATGATAAGAGGAGGAGGCTCTGTTGCTTTATGGGGAAGTTTTGCTACAGTTGTGTGTTTCTTCACTAAAGTGGCTTTTACTAGGATAAGTGAACGCGTTTCCCTTTAAAGGAATTAGTTTGGTCAGACGGATTGAATTAATACAAAAACTAAATCAGCCGTAATCGAAGTTAAATTGGTTACATTGTTTGGATGATGTAACATCATTTGAAAATCATCAGGTTTCTTAATCATTTTAACACGCTATTGATTATCATTATATCAAATATTATAACTAACACTTTAATGATCCTGTTTATGTCGCTGCCTGTCATTTGCAGAAGCAGGGCGAAATCATCCCCCTTGCTGCTCGTCTTAAGTTTGAGTACTGAGGATATTATGGAATTGGCAATCCTCTGGGTTGGGTGTGTTCCCGCCGACGATTCCCTTCTGGCCAATTCCGATGCCAGGTAATATCAAACTACATAATGAAACTAGTTGGACGCATGGCACCATGTTGCTTCTTCCTTCCCCTTGGTAAGCTTGTGAATGTGATGCTCGTTTCTGCTGCAGGAGGAGGTGGTTTTGAGGAGAGTTGTTGAAGAACCGTGGGGCTGAGTTCAAAATCGAAGGTGGTAACATATGTAGGTTGGTAACCATATGCACCTGTCCGATTTAGTTATCTGATTAATTATCGTGGGGGAGTAGCTAGCTAGCCCTAGGGAGTAGGGAATGGGCTGATGCATCAGGAAATACAATTTTGACATGAACCTTCAAGTAAGATAATTGTGTTCGACTTTTGAAATAAAAGATAATTTTGATTCAAAATTTAAGTTGACCAGTAATATTGACGGTCAAACATTTTTTCGTTTATGATATGTTAACGTGATTGTGACATGACTTCACGTCATTTATTTATAAAAAAATGGATAATATCCTATTTTGATATGAATTTTAACAAAAATGCATTTTTGGATAGAGTTTCAAATAAGGTAGTTTTGTTCGAATTTTGAAAGAAATTGCTTGAAAAAAATATGATTTTTTAAGAAAAAAATTTGAATAAGACCACAAAATAGAACCTTAACTTTTCCCTATCTTTTCTTTTTTACTTGCATAAATCATAAACAAAGAGTAAAAAAAAAGAAAAAAAATTGGATTGGTTATTTGAAAGTCCAGGTCGAAATTGGCTTTGAGGTCAAGGTTCAAGATAAAATAGGTTACTATCCCTATGACATGGAAGTCATGTCGCAGCCACCTCAGCATTATATGCTATGTCATAAACGGAAGTAATGTTAAACTGTCAATATTAACAATCAACCTAAATTGTGGGCTAAATTTATTTATTTTTCAAAATTTGGACAAAATTGTCTTATTTCAACGTTCACGTCAAAATTGGCTAGCCCGGACCGAAAAGAAAAAATGAGATAGAGCCTAGATTTCTTGCCACGTCCCGCACCTCTGCACACTTGTCACCTTCCTTTGTTATTGCTCAATCTGCTCGTTGGATAGGGTAAGGATTTGCATTAGTAAATTTGAAGGCAGATTGAGTTTTCATGATTTTGATAGAATATTGCAATGCTTAGCTAACTAGGCTTGGAAACTCCTCCAAAATCCTGAAAATATTCTTGCCAAAATCTATAAAGCTCGGTATCACCCTAATGGGAATATCCTACTAGGTCGGCAAGGGTTGCGTCCATCATGGGCTTGGTAAGGTATTCTAAAGGGAAGTGACATATTGATAAAAGGTCTGCGCTGGCAAGTCGGATTAGGAACAAGCGTAACCATTCTCCAGGACCCATGGATTCCAATTGAACCTCCTTCCAATCCTATCTTGCTACCAGGGGTATGGCTACAATATCCCGTGGTATCCCATATGTTGGATCCGCTCTCGATGATCTGGAATATTCCTCTTTTCAAAATCTTATTTTATCCAACCACTATAGAGAAAATCCTCTCCATTCCGCTTCCATCTTACCCACAAGATGATAAGCTAATTTGACATTATGATAAATCTGGTAAGTACACAGTGAAATCAGGATACCACCTCCTTTCTTCAGAAATAAACCCTCCTCATAATGATATTCCAGATTTATTGAACACCAAGTTTTGAAAATTCTGAACATCCTAGTTCCTCCCAAGCTTAAATTCCTTTATGGCGAATGGTTTGTGGTTCTTACTAGTAAGGAATTGTGAAATACCAAAAAATTAAATCCTCCGATTCATGCCCTATATGTTGTGAGTAGGTTGAAGATCTAAAACTTTTTTTTATTGCAGAATCTCTTGAGAACTTTGGGTATTAACAGGCTTAAATGCCCTTCGTCATTCGATGAAGGGAACTTCTTTGGACTTAGCATAGAGAAACTTATTTTTCACCTCTCATATTTCCAAGAGTGATGTTGCATTTATAGTGTTCCTCTTTTGGAGGATATGGAAAGGTAGATGTAAGGCGACATATGGGTATATTTTATACCAATCCCAACTTCAGTACATGCAATTAACGAGAAGTGTGGTGGAATGGCTAGCAACAGAGATACAAAGAGTTGCGAAGAATACAAGAGCACAGAGACTAGCATCGCGTTCATCCACAGGCCAAGCTCCTCAATGTCAAGGATCAGATGTAAGCTATCCTTGTGAGGGGATTTCAGTCCGATTTGATGGGGCCACAAGATCACACCATGGTGGTGCAATCGACTTTGTTGGCTTCTCATGTGATGGAACTGTCTCTTTTACTTTTGGTAAAGCTTATGTTGGAATTCCTAATGCTTATACATCATAATTTTTGGCCCTTCGTGATGCTATCAAATGGTGTCTTACACATAATTTGTTTGTTGTTTCTTTCTGTGGAGATTGACAAGTGGTCATCAAGGATGTTACTTCAAGGAAGTCACTGCAGGGGCCATCTTAGAGGAAGTTCTTCGTCTCTCCTCTTTCTTCGAGTCAGTCTCGTGTCTTTTCACTCTTCAGAGTTTCAATAGAGCCGCCCACCTCCTAGCAAAACAAGTTCATTCATTAGGAGTCCGGTTGAATACAGACTATCGTTCTTTATTATTGCCTTGTTTGTAGTTTTGTTGCTTGGCAACTTTATGGATAGTCTTTTTCAAAATAAATCAAATAGTCAAGTGTAAATGTGTAATGAGATTACTTGCAACTAAAAGAGTGCAAATCAAGTGACTAAGGAGATCCTTAGTCACTTGATTAAATCTCTCCTAGCCCTTAGATCTAGACACACTAATCTAATAGTTAAAATGTGAGAAATGCCTTTTAAATAGTGATAGGGGTATCAACTATAACATTGGAAGGTCAAGAATAAATTGGTAGTGCCTTATTTGCTTCGGGGATGTTGTTTTACTACATATGAGATCTTATGCACATGTTCTATGACGTGGTGTGTCGAGTATAATTTTTCTATGCTAAAATAGGCTGACTAGACATTTTTGTTAACCACGCTAACAAAAAATAAAATAACACCATCAATGGAGACTAACGCAAGGTAGCGACCGGTGTCCAAACTTAAACTATTGAAATAATCTTAGTGACCATGGATGAATAAAATATTTCTAGTGGCAAAAGTGAAGTTTTTTAGTAATTTCAATGACCAAACTCTAAATAGATATCCAGGTTAGGATCCAAGCGTAAGTCTTGTTTGCCCCTATCGGATCTACAAAAAAACATTGGAAAGTATTGGACCGGAAGGAAGAAGCCCCCCAGAAAGTCGATTTGCTTTATAAAAAGAAGATATCAATGAACTTCTATGAAATGGTTTCACGGGATTCAGCCAATTGTCTTGATCGTGGGATAGAGATCCTAACCCGTAGTCTCGGTATAAAGAACCCGTAGCCTCGGTATAAAGATGATAGGAAAGCCTTGCAATTTACCCCTTTTTTATATATGAAGATCAACAATTGAGGAACGATAAATCTACATATCACTTGTTTGATGATTGATGAATGATGATTTTTGGTGTTGAAGTTTGCTGGAAGTTTGATGCTGAAGTATGCTAGAATTTTATTGGGATTAACTGGAATTTTGTTGCTGAAAATCAACTTGTCTATTGAAAATTTGTGCTATTGCAGGTCTGTTGGAATCAATTGGAATGTTACTATAATGTTTTTGGAATTTATTGGAATTTTGTTGTTGGATTTTTTTGCTGCTAAAAATCTTCTTATTTGCTGAAATTTTGTTGTTGCAAGTATGCTAGAATCAACTGGAATGTTTATGGATATTTGCTAGGATTAACAGAAAATTTTTGTTAGATTTATTTATGCTGGAATTGCTTTTAGAATTTCCAAATTCTCATTTTAAACTTGGTTTACATGTTAAACATTTCATTATTTGGTGTTATGCTGGAATTGCTTCTAGAATTTCCAAATTCTCATTTTAAACTTGGTTTACATGTTAAACATTTCATTATTTGTTGTTATGTTAATTGTCATATTGGCTATTTAATTAATTTGTTATTAACTTTTTTGGTTTAATGAAAAAATGAGGGAAGAATGAAGAGTGAGGCTCTCGCGTGTGTTCATGTGTCTTTCGGGTAATACCCGATATTCGTTGGAGTTTGGGCATGATAAAAATGTATTATCCATTTTCTTCTACTTCGGACGAATTTCGATATACTCGAATATCTTCTTGATGGGATAGGATATCCACTATCCGTACCCGCCTCGATCCATTGCCGACCCTGAGAAGAGGAGGTGCAATGATGTAGGTTGTACTTGTACATTTTTTTATAAGGATGATTTTATTAAGAAAAGAAAATAATGAGAAATCAAAAGGTACACAAATAGCAAAAAGGAAGCATCCCTTTCAAATCAATCTCGATTGTACTTGTACATTTATTCATTTCTTGTATGTATGCACACATTTGTATTCACGTGTCACAGGGGCCGTTTGGAAGTTGAGATTTCAGATGATGTATTTGGCTAATACATGTAATCAGAAGAATTCGTCATTTTTTTGTCATAAAAAGAAACATAATACTTGTATTTGAACAACAGATGGGACCACCAGAATTATTCATCATGAATGATTGTAAATATCAGCTTTTAGCAGATATTGTGTTTGAGGTATTGTTAGCTTACTTTTTCTTCCTTATTCTTTGAGGGACCACCAAAATCATTCAATCTCCAAACAATGTATTTTTCAAATTTATACATTGAAACAATACATCTAATTATAATACATACATTGATTAAATACATCAATTTAGAGAATCCCAACTTCCAAACATGCCCTAAATCTTCCTCGAATGGGTAATAGATTGGCTTTGTTTAGGAGAGTATGAGGTCACTGAATTGGTGAATCTAATCAATGAACCAAACCCATCAATCCATATAACGAACAATCAATTTGTCTGATTTAGGATTCAATGAATTGGTGTTGTTGAAATTGTTCATATATACTATATCTTGCAAAACAAGTAAAATGTAAGATCAATTGTACTAACCGACATAATTCAATGCCTCTGCTTAAGTAATCTTATTCCCCCTCTAGTATCTCAGGTTATGGAATGATTACCCCCAAGATCATAAGGATGTACCTTTCCGGTGTAGCGGTACCTCAAACCCCGAAACATCGGACGTAGTGAATCGGCAAGAACTACCCTTGACTCTATTTTTTCTTTGAAAAGATAGCAGAAAAAATCAGTTTGCATTTTGGCAGTTTTGGTACCGGAAAAATCGTGTATAAAAAAACCAGAGGGGGTAGGTGTTATTTATAGAAAACTAAAGGGTGTATATGAAGGGAGGCGACTCTTCATATGGGTGGTTACACCCCAACTATTTCAATGATTTGCTTAAAGTTTATCAACCATTGCAATGATTCCAACCGCCACATCGGTTCGGGTCGATTTGGTTCAACTCAGTTTGGTTGGTTACACAAACCAATTTTAAACGTTATCAACATATTACATCAAATCGACCGAATTCAAAGCCGCACCTTCCCACATCTCACCAATGTGGTATTCAAGAGTATCTTTTGACTCATACCCCTTTCATTCCCATTCACACCATTAAAAATCCGTTGGGTCGTTACAGAACTAATGCTTTCTTATTAAATTTAATATTGTTATGAAAATAATAGAAAATATAAACAACTACAAGAGAAAATTAGAGAGGAAAAGACACAAGAGAAGAGAGGGGAAGAGTTCTTCTTATTCATTCTTTTCTTTTGATACAATGGTGTGCTCTATTTATAGGCACACTTTGGTAACCACTACATCTTTATATCAATGCATATGAAAGAGAGATAATGATGTAGAAATAGGGGTTATATGTAACTCACAAGTGAGCATCTAATGTGGTAGGTCATTGGTCATCCATATATCAATATTTACATAATACTCCCTCTTGGATGACCACTAGATTGCATTACGCTATCTCATACTGCCTCGTTAAAAACTTTACCAGAAAACCCATTAGGAAAAAACCATGATTAAGGGAAAAAGAGTGTAGTGCATATATGCTCCCCCTCGTGACCACATCACTTCAGATTTTTGAGTCGTTGAACTCAAATTTCACGAACAACTTTAGAAAGATTGTTGTAGGGAGTGAGATGGTGAACAATCTTCTAGATTGTTAATTTGATGCATGGTCTTTAGATTTTCTTCATACTTGATCGTCATGATCATTTCACAACCACAAGTACTTGAGATATGGTGGATCACAAAGTGTAACGAAAGACATTCAGGACTTGCCTATTATAGTTTGTTTTGTTTCTTTATGAAACATTTATATCACCATATGTAAGAGATAGCTCGTCTCCGATCAACCAATATGAGGATCAAATGATATATAGGATTTGGATATATAGTTTACCAAATCTCTCTTTGATAATATCATAATAGAACAATATTATATATTGTTCCCGGAGGTAACAAAGTATTTTCCAACATTCTAATGAGGGAAATGTTGTATCTTTCCAATATTATCAACACCAAAATGATAGTTTATATGGTGCTTGACTAGCAAGGTGCATTGGTGCTCTAATGCATCAACATATGGTACTTCAAGACCTAATGTTTCACTTCTTTCTTGCTGCCTAAATGGATCTTTGGTCACTTCTAGTGATCTTAGGATACTAATGTTATTTGATGAACACAATTTGTTCATGCAAAATTACTTTCCCACTTTTTCAACATTACCTTCTTTGCCCATAAAGAAGATCTTAAATCCTTCAATTTAACTTATGTCTCTAAGCAATCAATTGCTTTAGGAAGCTCATCAGGAGCTCGAATAATAGTCATATCATCAACATAATATAAGATCGTCACAAAAAAACTTAACTAACACAAATTGATGCAATCAATTCTTTCATATTACGAAAGATAATAACAAAACTCACATCATAGAAACATATAAACTAGACAAAGCACACTCATAAAACACAACTCATACTTTAAAGTAAATCACAACTCATAAATCAAGAATTTAAAATCCTTGAAACACATACAGAAAACACAACTATATATGTACAATGCAAATACTCTTATGCACTCTATCCGAATTTAACCTTTTAAGGTCCATTCACCCTACTGTTGTAGGTGTTCACTTTGACGAGTATTTCACATTCGTCTATATTGTCTCAACCCACACAAGGGATTTTCTTAGTCTATCGATATATGTTCTCGAGAATTTTACTTGTTCACTTCAGGTAAATTAATCCTTCTAGGAGTAATTAATCCTTCTGGGAGTTTCAAATATATATATAACATCTTCAGGGAATTCAAACAAATAGGTTACAACAATAATTTTCAAACATAGATATAAACATTGATTTGAAAAAGCACTTGCATCCACCGCAGGGGAGCATAACTCATCTCAAACATGATAGGTCTCTTCGAGAAACCCATTGCAAAAAATTGTGCTATATCTCTCACAATTTCATTTTTCCAATAGCACAAAAATTTGTTTGTATCCCGCTATTTTTACCCTTTTCAGGTGTAAGGACTTCTGGTCCTTAAACTTTATGCTCTTTGAGCAAGTTTCATGATTTCTTTCTATATTGGCCAATAACATCATCATTTGCATGCATCAATAGACTTTTACTCTTGATCCTCACTTGTATATATCATATTCAGTACTGAAGTACAACAAACAAATTTCGTCGACAATGACTTCATTACGGTTCCAGTATTGTAGTCTAATATGTTTCTGAGATCTCTTCGCTTTCACAACTTTCAGA